CACTTTCTTTAAAACCAAGTAACAGAGCTCAGGAAAGATCCACAAGTTAGAACAGGAAACAGTGACTGGAGGGATTTCTGAGGACAAACTATGATTGAGAGGAAGGCTGGCAAAGCAATGGCAGGGAAAAGAGCCATGGTGACAGTGACAGGTACTACAGGATCAAATCCCAAGGACAAAGAGCTCATGGAGTGGGTACTGAGGGATACAGGAATATTTAGGAGGGCAAAATTAAAAGGGAAAAAGCCTGTACTCGAAGCTGAACAGCAAACAAATGCCTGATGTCTTGGCTAACACTGCAGGGCTCCTCCCTGCTCCCCTGAAATCCTGCCCTGCCCCAGCTCCCTGCCACATCCCCCGTGCTGCACCACCAGGACACAGCTGAGCTCCCTCCTCACACAAAGCACTCCTCCTCCTCCTCAGCCCCTGCTGCAGCTGCCCCCGGAGCACAGGCCCCAGTGAGGCTGTGCAGCTCTTACCTTTGAGGGAATTCAGCGAGAACATCTCCATCCCGGCGGGAAGGCCTTCCTGGGACAGCAGGAGGGAGCACAGAGAAACTGCAAGTTAGAATTGCTACTTCCTTTCAAGGGGTTCAGCTGCTTCTGCTGTGGCTTTGGGGTGGAAATGAGGGGTTTTTAAAGCCTGTTAGGCCAGGATGAAGCAGATTATTGCCATTATTCCCTTTAAAGGGGAAAAAATAACTGGAGAAGAAGGAGAACTGTACTTCTGATAACATTCTTTACTGAAACTGTGTTAAACTTCCCACTTAATTTCTTACTAAAATAACCTTCACTCCAATAAGAAAACCAACTTTGTTTTGGGGTGTTTTATCTGTGATGCCAAGTACTAAACACACTGCAGGGATTCTTGGAAAGAGTAACAAGGATTTTCTATAAACTCAGATCAGATGGGTGAGGACTGAAGGTCAGCATTTACACACAAAGCCAGTGTGGAGCTGGATTCCACGATCCTGGTGGAGCCCTTCCAAGTCAGGATACTCTGGGATTCTGTGGACATTAACTGTCCCCATCAATGACTTCCTGTGCATGCAATTATCATCCCAATTATTCACTTTTGCTTTCAATAAAACAAAATTACTTCAGCAGCAGAAAAAAAAAAGAAAAAAAAAGCTTCAAATAAACCCAGCCCATTTTCTGTCCACCTCTCTGGAAGTGACACCTTGTCCATGGCTCCTTCCCCATGGACACCGACCTGCCCTGGCTGCCAGGGCCACACCTGGATTTCCCAAGGATGAAATCCATAAAAACAGAGCAAATTGACTTGGCAAAAACGAAACCCCACGTGTGCCGTGGTGAATCTCAGAGGGGAATGTCCCTGCTGTGATGAATCCCTGCAGAGAACAAAGTCAGGGAGCTCTTTCATGGTCCTGGAGCCAGCCTCCCAGGCTGAGCTTGGCACCCAGCAGCCCGTGCCCTTTCCTGGCCATCATGCCAGCCTGGCTCCAGGTGCCCCAAGGGGATTTGGGATGGCTTGGTGAGCCCAGTACCCTCCAAGAGGAAAGAAACAATCCCTGAAGTGCTGGGGAGAGGGAAGCAGGAGTGGGACAGGGAATGCTGCTGCAGGGCACTGCCACATCCCCCTGCCCAGCTCTGACCAGAGGGGGCTCAGCTGTGTGGGGTACCCCAGGGAACGCCTCCCTCAGCTCCGGGGGCAGGAACTGCAGCATTCCCTGCTGGGAATTCAGGGAGCAGGAACAGGAATGCCTCAGCTGGCTGGGGAAAAGGGCTCTTCCAAAAGTGGCTTTGAGCTGAGAGAGGGCAGGGATGGATGGGAGATTGGGAATTCTGGCTGGGATGGAATTCCCAGAGCCCCTGGATGCCTGGCAGTGTCCCAGGCTGGGCTGGACAGGGCTGGGAGCACCTTGGGACAGTGGGAGGTGCCCCTGCCACGGCACTGGATGATCCTTACACTCTCTTCCAGCCCAAATCATTCCACAATTGAACGGGTCAATGCAATATAAAAGTGATGGAAATGGTATTTCCTGCTCAAGAGCAAGAAACAGAAAATTGAGAACCCTCTGGGGATGAGGTTCCAAGATGAACACCTGAGATCCCCTTGGGTAAGCAAGATTCCAGCCCAGCTGTTTGTGTGATGCTGCCTGCAGATCCCAGCTGGGCTGGGAGCCTTACTGGGAACCAGTCAGAGTCAGACTGGGGGGCAGCAGGGCAGGACAGCGAGGAGAATGCAGGATCCGCTGGACCTGACACCAGGATCCCCACCTGGGAGTGACTTTTAGCACGTCCAGCAGCCCGGGGGAAACCCCAGGGTGTGCTCCTGCAGATCCTGATCCCAAAGAAGCAGGAGTGTCCAACTGTGGCAGCTGCTGCAGCCCCAGGGACACGCAGGGAAGCGGCACCAGCGTGGACAGGGGTACTGGAAGACTCAAAATGTGTTTTGTCTGGTGACAGGAGAGATGTGGGGGCTCTGAGGACACTGGGTTTGGGAGGAAATGGCCCAGGGTGACACAGGACAGGCAATGGCACGGCTGGAATGAGAATCCACGGGAGCCTGGAGCCTCACACCCAGCAAACTCCAGAGCCCCGGGGGGCACAAGAGGCACTGAAAGTTTGTTAGAACAGACTCGTGAACAGGCTCAGTGCTCCTGCTGCAAAGCCAAGAGTGGAACCAGGGAATGCAGCACAGAAACTGTCAGATCAAACCCCCACGGATGGGAAGGAGCTGGGCCTTTGTGGGGGCTCCTCGATCCACTGGGGAACAGCTTCAGGAGGGAATCCCTGGGAGAGACAAGGGGACAGCACAGCACCTCTGCCTCCTGGTGCCGGGGTGAGCCGGCAGGGCTGCCGGGGGCAGAGCCCGGCTGCGTTGTGAGGAGAACAAAGGGGAGCTGCCGCTGGCTGCACAGCCGGCCCCGGCACTGCCGCCCGGCTCCCCGCACGGTGCCTCACGGCTCCCCGGGCTTCCCCGGGCCGGGCCACAGCGGAGGCTGCGGCAGCCGGTGCTCACGGGCAGCCCCGGGGCCGGGCTGGGCACCCGCCATTCCCGCGGGCACCGGGGGAAACGGGGCTGGCGGCGGCACCGGGGCGGGCACGGGCGGGCAGAGCTGCGGGAGAGCGGCTCCGTGCGGAGCGGAGCGGAGCGGAGCCTCCCGGGCGGCGACGGAGCTGCGGGACAGCCGCGCTCCCGGCGCCGCCGCCCGACCCCCGCCCGCCCGGCACCGACCTCCGCACCGCGACTGCCGCCGCCGGGCCGCCCTCGGGACTACGGCTCCCGGCAGCCCCCGCGCGCGCTTCCGGCGCGGCGCGCGCTTCACTTCCGGCCCTTCCCCGGAAGTGAGGCGGCCCGCGCGTTCCCTCCGGCCGGCGGCGCCGCAGCGCGAAGCCTCGCGTGGGCGCGGGGCGGGGTCTGTCGCCATGGCAACGGCGGAGCCAATGGGCGGTGAGGGGTGTTCCCATGGCAACGGCAGAGCCAATGGGCGGCGCGGCCTGTGGGGGCGCTGCAGCCGCGGCCCCGCCGTGGGACCCGTTCGGATCCTGGTCCCGGTCCCGATCCCGGTCCCAGAGTGGGGATGGACCCAGCTAGGCCCGATCCCTGTCCCGGTCCCAATCCCGATCCCAGTCCCGATCGCCCGGTGCACCCAGCCAGGCCCAATCCCGATCTCGGCCCCGATCCCGGTTCTGATCCCGGAGTGGGGGTGGACCCAGCCAGGCCCGATCCCTGTCCCGGTCCCGATCCCAATCCCAGTCCCGATCCCGGAGTGGGACCCAGCCAGGCCCAATCCCGATCCCGGTCCCGATCCCGGTTCTGATCCCGGAGTGGGACCCGGCCAGGCCCGATCCCGACCCCGATCCCAGTCCCGGTCCCGGTCCCGGTCGCTGCCCGGAGCAGCCACATCCCCGGCGCTGTTCCTGGCCGGTCTCGCTGTGCTGCCTTTCCAGGGTGGCAGCTCCGGAATCCTGAGGTTGGGATCTCGGGATGTTTGGCGGGTTTGTTATTCCCTGGGTCTCCAGAGGTTCCTTTCCTGCAGGTGTTTATTTCTGCTCCGGGGTGTTCAGGGACACGGGGACGTTTACAAACCACAGTAACGCAACGCACGGTTTAATTCTGGGGTTGTGATTTTACTCATGGACTTTTTCACACTCTATTTGCTAATGTTTGAACTAAAATATGTTTTTAACTTATATACACGGTTTTGCCTTTAAAAAGAAAATCTGTAAAGTTCAATTCGCAAATAAACCATTAGTAGAGACTCAAAAATAAGTGTTTTTTATAAAGGAAATTTGGGAGAAATTGCTTGCTGATGACCCATTCCATGGGTCTGGATGTGAGTGTGGAAAGATGAAGGCAGCCAGCAGGGAGGACTCGCTGCAGGCACCTGTGGGTAATTATGTCAGCGCCCAATTTACTCCTTAATTGGACTTCGGGGTCTCCACACCGGCACTGAGCGGCGGGGGCCGGACCGATCCCGGCCGGTGGTTCGGGACCCGGAGCGCTCCTTGCCGGTCCCGAGGGCTCGGGCGGTGCGCTCGGAGCGCTCCTTGCCGGTACCGAGGGCACGGCCGGTGGTTCGGGACCCGGAGCGCTCCCGGCCGGTCCCGAGGGCACGGCCGGTGCTCTCGGAGCGCTCCCGGCCGGTCCCGAGGGCACGGGCGGTGCGCTCGGAGCGCTCCCGGCCGGTCCCGGGGGCACGGGCGGTGCGCTCGGAGCGCTCCCGGCCGGTCCCGGGGGCACGGGCGGTGCGCTCGGAGCGCTCCTGGCCGGTCCCGAGGGTTCGGGACCCGGGGTCCCTCAGCGGGAGCGGCGGGGGCGGGGCCAGGAGGGGCGTGGCCGGGCCGAGGGGCGTGGCCACACGGCAGCGCCGCGCGCGTTCCCGCTGGCCCGTCCGATCACATCCCCGAGCACGTTCACGTCCCCGTCGGTGTTCCTGTTCGCGTCCCCGAGCACACGCGCGATCACATTCCCGTTCCCACCGCCGAGCACATTCCCGTTCCCGTTCCGAGCCCCCGAGCATGTTCCCGTTCCCGGGCGGGCCCGGCCCCGCGCTGGCCGCGGCGCGCCGCAAGGACGGCGGCCCGGCCGGCAAGTTCTGGGAGAGCCCCGACACCGTGTCCCAGCTCGACTCGGTCCGCGTGTGGCTGGGGAAGCACTACAAGAAGGTGCGGCCCGGCGGGGGCGGCGGGCACCGGAGGAGGGGCGTGGCCGGGCCGAGGGGCGTGGCCACACGGCAGCGCCGCGCGCGTTCCCGCTGGCCCGTCCGATCACATCCCCGAGCACGTTCACGTTCCCGTCGGTGTTCCTGTTCGCGTCCCTGAGCACACATTCCCGTTCCCACCGCCGAGCACATTCCCTTTCCCGTTCTGAGCCCCCGAGCATGTTCCCGTTCCGGCCCCGGGCGCGCCCCCGCGGTGGGCGGGGCGCGGGCCGGGGCGCGGCGCATGCGCGGCGCTCGACTCGGTCCGCGTGTGGCTGGGGAAGCACTACAAGAAGGTGCGGCCGGGCGGGGGCGGCGGGCACGGGGCGGGCGGCCGGGGACGGGACGGGGGGGGCCGGAGCTTTCCGCCGCTCTTTGTGAACCCCCTTTGCGGCGGGTCGGGGGCAGCCCCGGGCACATTTCCGCTGCCCGGGGCCGTGTGCGGGGCAGCCCCGGTGGCTCCGGGCCGCTCCCGCTGCTCCGGGGCCCGGCCGCTGCCCGCCCGCCCCAGGCGGCGGCTTTCCTGCGCGGGCAGGTCCCGGCCCCGCCGGGCTTCGCTCCGGCCGCGCCCCGGCGCTGCGGGGAGCGCTGGGAAGGGAGGAAAATCCTGGGAAGGGAGGAAAATCCTGGGAAGGGAGGAAAATCCTGGGAAGGGAGGAAAACCCCCGGAGCCGCGCTGAGCCCCGCGTGTTGCCCCGAGCTCCTCGGGCTCCTCTCCCGCTTGGCTCGCCCCGGCTGCCCCGCTTTCTCTATGTGCTTTTCCCCCCCACGTGCTGGTTTATAACTGCGTTCCGGTGAGGCACGGCCCGGTGTACCTTGGCAGCCGCGCTCGGAGCGCTGCGGGCCCCGGCTGCGGAATGCCCGGTGCCTCCCGGCCCGGGGCCTCCCCCGCGGAGCAGCCCCGGCTGTCGCTCGGGCCCTTTGTGTGGGGACAGTCCGGGAGCGGCGCTGCGAGCCGCGGGGGAAGGCGGCGCGGCGCGGCGCGGCTCGGCGCGGCTCGGGTGTGTTTTTCCAGTCCTTCCAGCTCCTTCCAGCCTGCCTCGGGGTGTGGAGCGCGCTGTGAAGCCGCAGCTCCGGCTCTTTGTGTTGCCAGGGCAGTGTAACAGAACATTCGTGCAGTTGGGCTGGTTCCGCTTGCCGTGCTGTCCCACGCCCGGGGGAGCTGTGCGTTTCCCTTTGCCTGTCCTGGCCCAGCACGCCCGGGATCCCGGGAAATCGCTGCTCTGAGCGGGGCCCAGGTGCCCTGCTGGGCACGGAAAGTGTTTGTGTGGCTCTAAACCCCCTGCCAGGCTGGTACTGCTTGGGCAGGGCTGTGTGGTGCAGCAACGGGAGCCAAGGGAAAAACCCTCCTTTCAAATTGTTAACAATAATAATAATATTGTTGCTGTTATTATTATTGCTATTATTATTAATAGTAGTACAAATTATATTATATAAATTATATTATTCTATTAGGGACTGTTATAAAAATTAGATATTTCCTTCTCGTGGCTCTGGAAGTAATTGGAGTTGGGCTAAGGAGACTCTACAGGGCGAGTGAGTTTTGGAGTGTTGCCGTGACAATCCTTTTAAAAAGTGAAAAGTAATTTTGGTTTGGGGAAACAAGAAAGCTGGTACCAGTACTTACAGATGGAGCCTTAACACGCCAGAGGGAAGGGCTGGTTGGCTTTTGGGTGCGCTGTAAATGGACTCTGGTTCATCCTGTGCCTGTTTTCATCCCGCTGTAGGTGTGTGGCTCTTTCCAGAGAGGTACATGGTGATTTTAACTGGCTTTTGTCCAGCTTATGCTCTTAAAAATAGGTGTTTGTACATCTCAGTGGTGAAGCTGTCAGCAGCAGTTGGTGTGCCCAGCCCCAGGGACACTGGGGACCAGTTGGAGACAGTCCCAGAGCAGCACCGAGCTCGGTCAGGGACACAGAGGTCCTGAGGGACAGGGAGAGTGGGAGAGCTGCTCCTTTTGACTCTGGATTAGACAAGACTTAAATATTGAAGTGTTTTCTGTGTCTCCAGAGTCCAGCAGCTGTTGGGGAGCTCTCTGTGTCTCCAGAGTACAATTAAGAATGAAAGGTCTCAGTAGTGGTGTGGAAGACTCACTCTGCACCTTGAAAAACTCACTGATAGGTGCCAAACACAGTGACAGAAAGTGAAATTATCAATATCTGTGTCTCCAGAGTACAATTAAGAATGAAAGAGGTGTCAGTAGTGGTGTGGAAGACTCACGCTGCACCTTGAAAAACTCACTGATAGGTGCCAAACACAGTGACAGAAAGTGAAATTATCAGTAATGTGCTGAGCTGATTTATTCCAGGCTCCCTCCCGCTCCCAGTGTGTGTGTGTGGTGTCTGGAAGTTGGTCTGTGTTGTTTCTGTGCTCCAAGGGATGCAGGGGGTGCCCAGCTCCTTCCCAGGCAGTGTGGGTGCACCAGGGATGTTGGAGCCTTGCTTCCCTGCGAGCTGGGAATGGGTTTGGAGTCCTGGGGCATCTGACAGACCTGAACAGAGCAAAGTCACGGGATCCTGGAGTGGTTTGGGTGGGAAGGGGCCGTAAAGCCCATCCCATTCCTCCCCTGCCATGGGCAGGGACACTTCCCAGTGTCCCAGGGACACTTCCCACTGTCCCAGGCTCCAAGCCCTGTCCAGCCTGGCCTTGGGCACATCCAGGGGCAGCCACAGCTGCTCTGGGCACCCTGTGCCAGGGCTCCTCACCCTCCCAGCCAGGAATTCCTTCCCAGTGTCCCATCTTACCCTTTTCTGTGGCAATGGGAAGCCATTCCCTGTGTCCTGTCCCTCCATCCCTTGTTCAAAGTAATTTGAGTAGACTGTAAAAGGCACCTTGATGCCCATTATATATATAACATAGTTCCTTAGAAACTCACAGTTCAGCAGTAAACTGAGCAATTCTCTCTTTATTTTATTAATGGTCATTTATCTATAGCGTTGTGCATTGTTTAGGCAGTTCCTTTCTCAGTAAGCCACATCCCCCATATCAAAATGGGGTGTCCCAAAGCAGTTACTCATTGTCTGTAAGACCTGTTTCTGAGGTGGTTTGGGAGGGGTTTTAGCAGCTGCCTGATGAAGGATGCAGCCCCTGACCTTGGCCTTGCAGCTGAGCTCCCCGAGGAGCCATCCCAATGTTGCTCATATCCAGGGCACTATCCAGAGCCATATCCATCTGTTGACCCTGCTGGCTCTGGCTGCTCTGCCCCTCGGAGACAAAAGGCTGGAGCAGTTGATTTTTGGGAAGCAGGAGGATTTTTAAGGGGGTTTTTAAGGAGCAGGTGGGATGTTGGTTAGAGGGGATCAGGGCACAGCTCAGCAGGGGAGCCCTGGGGCAGAGCTGGGACCCCCTTGGAGAGGGGTCTGAGCACATCCTGAGCTGGGGGTGATGCCCAGGGGGGTCTGCAGGGCAGAGCTCCAGGCAGAGCTGGGATCTCCTCCCTGCCATGGGAGCAGGGCACAGGCTGGCTCCTGGCAGCTGCTGGGGACAGCAGTTGTGCCACCAGCGTGTCAGGCTGGCACCACCTGGCATCCCCAGGGGCTGCCCTGGCAGTGTCTGTGGCCCTGCTGTCCTTGGCAGGACCCTGCCTGGCCTTGGATCCAGGGAGGGGTCTGCCTGCAGCTCTTCTGTGTCTCACCTTGAAAGGAACCAGGCTTTGACCCAAACCCAGGCATTTCAGGGTGGGTTTCCCTTGGCTCTGGTGTGGTGCTCTGAGCTGCAGTGCCCTTTGTTTGGGGAGGGTGTGGGCACAGGGCCACAGAGGGCTGGTGTGGCTGTTGGAGCTCAGTGCCCACATCAGAGCTGCCTCTGCCTCTGTCCCCATGGGTGACAAACGCTTCCAGGGCAGCTGCAGTGCAGCTCTGGCTGCAGTGATTCCCTCTGCTGCTGCTCACACTCTGCCTTCTGACCACACATTTTCTCTTTAAAGATAGATTTGTGTTTTAATTATTGTGGAAAGGTTGGAAAACTCTGCTGTGCCAGTGGGGCTTTGGCATTTCAGCATGAGAGCAAAATCCTCTCATGGAACAGGACATCATTCTGTCCTCTGGAATTCACTGCTTAAAAACCTTTATTTGCAGCAAGATCATTTTGTGGACATGAGGGGAGAACCTGGAGAGCTGTTGGACTTGATCCTTTGTGGTCCCCCAAACCCACTGTGAATTGATTGGGAAATTCTGCTGTGTTTTACTGCTTCAAGACCCCTTTGTGCTGCTCATTAGGATGCAGAAATGAGGGAGGGGAGTCTTGGGCTGCTTTTTGAAGGGTTTTCTCCCTTATTGTTCAGGGAACCTCAGGCAAGGTAACGGGCTTCTCATTAAAAGGACCTGCAGGATAGTGGCAGTGCAAAGGAGGATGAGAAGGTGTTGTCTTCCTTTACAGCTTCCAGCTGTCAGTGCCTCCTGCAAGAGGTAAAACTGCAAGAAAAGGAATGATTGTCTGAAAAAGTTCACCTGTCTAAGAATAGGCTTTGCAAGGTGCATTCTCATGTAATTTTCCTTTTTCTCTGAAGGAAGAAAACTGGAAAAAAATAAAAGTAGAGTAAGTCCATACAAGGATGCCACTTTTGGATTTGTTTTTTGAAGGAGGTTCATATAATCCCAGACTGGTTTGGGCTGGAAAGGACCTTAAAGCCCATCCAGTGCCACCCCTGCCATGGCAGGGACACCTCCCACTGTCCCAGGGGCTCCCAGCCCTGTCCACCCTGGCCTTGGGCACTGCCAGGGATCCAGGGGCAGCCACAGCTGCTCTGGGCACCTGTGCCAGGGCCTGCCCACCTCCCAGGCAGGAATTCCTTCCCAAGATCCCATCCATCCCTGCCCCCTGGCAGTGGAAGCTGTTCCCCTTGTCCAAAGTCCTGTGCAGAGCCAGGAGTTGGACTCAGTGATCTTTGTGGATCCCTTCCAACTCAGGATATTCTGTGATTTTGATATAATTAAAACATTAATTCCTGGGGGAGGGAGGGGGCAGATTGAAATGCAGCTTTGAAATGTTAGCCTTCAGTTCTTTCCAGGCTCGTGTTGCTAGTTCAGGATTTATACCCAGGACACTCGGGAGCCCCACAGGAATTTGTGTCCTTTGAGCTGGGAAGATTTAATTTCTCAGATATGTGCCTGCTCCTGAGAAACTGCTGGGGGAACTCTCGTCTCAGGGTGGTCAGACACTGAAACTCTAATTGTTTCCATTCACTCTGAGCCCTTGTGGTGCCTTTGGCTTTGGAGCTGATGCTTTGCAAAGCTCGGTTGGGTTTGGCTGGTATTTGGCAGCACAGCTTTAAAACTTGGAGGGTATGGGTCTCAAAAGCTTTTTCTTTAAGGGGTTTTAGAAGAATCTTATTTGAGGGAAGAGGAAAAGCTGAGAGTTACCCAGCTGAGAGACTGGGTAGCTCAGATTGCTCCATGTTCTACCTGGAAAAGTGATGTTTGTTCTCCTCTTGGCAGTCACCTGGCACAGCAAGGAGGTGACATCCAGTGAGTGAATACTGAATAGTAGGGTGACAGAAACTCAGCACCATGGGAGGGGTGTAATGTTCCATGCTGTGATTTTACATTCACAATATAAATGTAATTTTACTGAACCTCGGGAGCTGCTCAGATTGTCCCAAAACATCACAAGCGCCTTTGTGTGGCTCAGCTTTTCCCTCTGAGCAGGACATCCTATTTATAGCAGAGGGCTGCTCTGAGGATTAATTGGGAGTTGATTACAGCAGGAGGCTGTGAGGTGGCTGCAGAGAGCTCTGTGTGTGTGGGCAGCACGAGCCTGCTCCTTTATGAGGAGCTGAGATGAGCCTGGCTGCTTAATCCCTGTCTGGAACCCGGCTGGGAGCTGGGCCTCAGCCACAGGTGAGTGCTGGCTGTTCAGCCTCAAGCTGGAAAATGGTTGTGCTGGGTGCTGCTCCTGTGCAATCCCCCTCCACCCCTTCCCAGCCACGCAGGGATCCCAAAATGCCCTGTAGGAGGGAGCTGGGTGTCACCAGGCAGCCTCCACTGCAGCCTCCTGTCCCCAACAACGTGTGCTTCTTGTCTTGCAGTACGTCCAGGCAGATGCTCCTACCAATAAAACCTTGGCTGGGCTGGTGGTGCAGCTGCTGCAGTTCCAGGAAGATGCCTTTGGAAAACATGTCACCAATCCTGCCTTCACAAAGCTTCCTGTGAGTATTGTGCTGGGGCTCTCACTCTGCTGGCACAGGGCACTGGGACATCCCTGCCCAGCCCAGCTCCTTCTACTGCACCCTCTGGAAGGGCTGGGGTAGCACACCTCTCCTTAGTGCACATTTGCAGTGTAATACAGCTTCTTCTCTCTGTATTTGAACTGATTTCTGGAATGCTGTGGGAAGATTTTTATTTCTACTAAAACTCACTCTGCTGGCACAGCTCCGTGCCAGGGCACTGGGACATCCCTGCCCTGCCCAGCTCCTCCTACTGCACCCTCTGGAAGGGCTGGGGTAGCACACCTCTCCTTAGTGCACATTTGCAGTGTAATACAGCTTCTTCTCTCTGTATTTGAACTGATTTCTGGGAAGATTTTTATTTCTACTAAAACTCAGTGTAATTCATCAGTTTTAAGTCAAATCTGGACTGGTGCATCCTAAACTGAGTGAGTAAAATGCACCTTCCAAGGCAAACAAGCTGCCATTAGGTGTTTTGGTTGGTTAAACTCCAGACTTGTGAAGTTGCCAGGGCTGAGAAAGGACTTTGCCACGTTCTGCAGCAGCAGGGATGGTTCTCCAATCCCCTGGGATGCAGGTAGCCAGGACCAATATCAGCACTGTGGGGGCTGCTGCTTCCAAAGTGCAGCCTGGAGCCCTGCCCACACCCAGAGGCTCCTGTCCCGGGCAGTGTGGGGTGCACAGAGCTGGGAGGAGGGCAGGGTGCCAGCCTGATGCCAGCTGGGTGCTTTAGGGAGGCCTGTGGGCAGGACAGGTGTCCTGGTCCTGTCAGGGTGGCACCAGCAGGGAGGTGTGTGCCCAGCTTTGCCACAGATGTGCTGGCACTGGGGCCGTGCCCCTGGGGCTCTTTGGGGTGGCTGCACAGAGCTGGAATCATTTGTGGCCAGGTAAGAGGTGGAAGCCCATTGGAGCTGAAGCTGGCCTGAAAACTTGGCAGAGCTCCTGTGGCTGTGGGTGCACGTGACAGGACAGTCCCTCCTTTGTTCTGTGCAGGTGTTTTGCCCCTGTAACCTCTCCATGAGGGTGGGGTGTGCACACTCCTTCACTGGAAGGGTTTTCACTCATGGGGTGAATCCTGGAACAATTCCCAAATGAATTTTAGAAGGAATCCTTCCCTTTGAGAGTGGGCAGGCCCTGGCACAGGTGCCCAGAGCAGCTGTGGCTGCCCCTGGATCCCTGGCAGTGCCCAGGCCAGGCTGCTCCAGTGTCCAGTGACAGGGAGATGTCCCTGCCCACAGCATGGGGAGTGCTGGCTGAACCTTAAGGTCCCTCCAACCCAAACTATTTGGGATTTTGTGAATCTCCTGGGCTTTTGAGAGCACCCAGAAGCACCCCAAGGTGCCATTAAGATCTCACCACCTCTCCTGATGCCTCAGTGATAGTGGGAAGCTTCAGGGACAAGGGGAGCTTTACAGAGCTTTACTTGGATGTGGCAGCACAAACCATAAACCTGCCCACATTCCTCAAGTGCATAAACCACTGGAGTGCTCCTGAGCCTTAAATCAATTTGTCTTATCTTAAAATGGGCAATAAACGTTGCACTGGCATCATAAAGATGTTGTTCCTGTGTTTGTTCTCGCTGCTTCAAAGCTCTAATCTGGCCAAATTTGCTCAGGTTAATTTACAGCACTTGGATCTCTGTTACTTCCAGCAGGAGACACTCCTCAGTGCATCCTCAGGAGTGCTGCTGTTTGTGGGGGTCTCCTCTCCCAGCAGAAAGCCCCTGGTGGTAACCAGAGCTTGGCCTCTGAGCAACTCCCCAGATTCTGCTTTGTGCCTTGTGCAAGTTTTTTTATATTTACTGAGAAACACAGAATAATCCACGACCAAAGCAGATCCTGGTGTTGTCCCTTCCTGTCCTGCCTTCAGCCCCATCCTCTGTCTCCATTTCCAGGAGGACTCTGCCAGCAGCTGCCTTTTCCAGGCACAGCCATCCTGACCAGAGAGAGCAGGAAAGATGCACATTCCAGGCTAAAATGTATCAGAAAAAAATTGGGCTTTTGTTCAGGAAACAGGGGTTTTTGAATAACCTTTCAGAGAAAGGACTCTGAAGCTTGCAGCCTCCCTGTGCCCCTGTTTGGGTGTTGTGGGACCCCTGCTTTGCAATGGGTGACTCAGGTGGAGCTGGGAGGGCAGAAATGAGCTGGGTTTGGTGTTTTAGGGCAGAGGTGCAGCTCCTGACACACAGCTTTCCCTGGGGCAGGGATGGAGTGTGGAATATCCGAGTTCTGCTGCGGGTGCTCATTCCTGATCATCTGGTTTGATGCTCTCATACAGATGAAGAGCTGCTTCCCTGACAGCTACGATCTGAGGTTTAATTTACTATGAAATGGGTGTTCAAAGAGTGCTTTGGATTTTTACAGCTCTACTTGGAGCTTTCAGATACATCAAGTTCTTGCAAACACAAAGAATTCTGCTTAATCCAAATACATTTAATCTTCAGGAAGCATCCTGAAAGGAGAACCTCAAACTCAGAAGTGTTTCATCTGAAAGTTAACTTTCATTTGATATGTTCTATGTCTAAAACTCAGCTAAGCCATCTGCATTTGTTTAAAATAATTGCATAAAAGTCAGTGTCATTGTTTTTCCTTGTTTTCTGGGTTTCAGGCAAAGTGCTTCATGGATTTCAAAGCTGGAGGTACATTATGTCACATTCTTGGTGCTGCTTACAAATATAAGAATGAGCAGGGCTGGTAAGTTTTTATTTGTGGTTTATACACCTTTTGCATGAAACCAAGCACATGAACTGCTTATGCAAACTACCTGAAGTTTAATCCTTCCTGGAGACTCGGGCAGGCAAGGCAGTGGAGATGGGAAGAGGGAACTTTTTCCTGTTTTGCTGATGGTAGCTTTTTTAAGACACACGCCCACACTTCTAAATTTAAAGAGGAGTTGGCCAGGTTTAAGGTTTTTGGGTCTGTAGTTGGAGTTAATGACAAGTTTGAGGCTCCTTTTTTATGTCCTTGCTGTCTGACTGAGAAAACGAGCCAGGATCAATCTCACATCTGTGAGACATAAATCCTTGTTGCTGTATTGATTATTTGGTTTAGTTATGATTGGGAGAGCATGAAGCACTGCAAATCCTAGTAAATGCTCAGATCTCCATTGCTCCAAAATGGGGAGTGTAAGCACATAGAAACTCTGCCCCTGGAGCTGTTGGTACTGGGATGAAAATACCCCTGTGACATCTCAGGAGTGGTGTAACCTGGGTGGTTTTGAGTTATAATCCTCTTCCTGAGGGAACAGCAGCATAGGATCATAAAATCCTGGAATGGTTTGGGCTGGAAGGGCCCCTAAAGCCCATCCAGTGCCACCCCTGCCGTGGCAGGGACACCTCCCACTGTCCCAGGCTGCTCCAAGCCCCAGTGTCCAACCTGGATTTGAAATCATTATTTTTGAGAACACTGGGCAAAAAAATGAGGATGGAAAGTCAATAAATGTAAACAATCAATAACAATAAGCAGAGATTGTTCCTGTCCACAAATTTAAATAGTTTGGATGTGATGTTTCCAATCTGTAGCAGCATTCCTGGAATTGCCTGAGTTGTTTTTACACACAAGAACCATTTAAAAGGCAAAACAAAGTTGTTTGAGAATGGTTGGTTGTTTTTAGGAATTATTTATATTCATATCTGCCCTGTCTGAGGTGGATATATCAGGAATAAACCACTCTCAGGGGCTTTCCTGTTCCAATCTTACCAACAGCTGGGACAGGCACCTCTCTGCAGTGTGGTTTATCAGCAGTGTCTTGCTACCTCTTGCCTTAAGATACAGGAATGAAATGGTTCCAGCTTCAGGAGCATTTGAATTGAATGAACATTTCTTGTTTCTAACAAGAAAGTGTGGTTTGCAGCCAGCTGCCCAGCCCAGCTGGCTCTGGAGCTGCCTCCTCCCCTGTCCCTGCCTTGCTGCTCCTCAGGATTAGGTGGGTAGTGCCTGGTGTGTGTGCATGTGGGCTGTAGTGGGCAGTAATCCTGCACCCTAACTCTGGCACCAGCCCTAGAGCCTGCAATGTGTCCCCACTGACTCTGCCAAGTAATCCGTGCTGTTTGCCTGCCCTGTGCTTGATGTGATTTTTGTTTTGGTCTGCATTGTCGCTCCTGCTTAACCTGTTTGTGACTGATCTGTCTTATAGGAGAAGTCCCTTTCCTCGCCACAATAGGTATGTCTGAGAGCTGGACATACACTCCTGGCCCAGCCTGGCCCAGGGAGCCTCTTAAGCTGAGCACAGGAAGAGTTAGTGCCATTTTATCCAAATGGGCAGCTGAAACAGTGCTGTTATTCATGTGTCCATGTCCTTCTCTGGCTTTGTGGAGCAGGCAGGGAGCTGGGGCATGCAGCATTCCATGGATGCACAGTGCAGGTTTTCAGCAAAAAATAGCAGCATTCTGGTCATGCCCTGGGTGTCTTTGTCTCACAGGTGCCAAGAGGTCTGTAGGTGTTTATTTGGCATTTGTATCCCACTGAGCCATTCTGTTTTGGATACAAGCCATGGCTGAATACTGGAGAAGGGGCTCAATCTTGACTCTGAATCCTCTGTATTAGAGGTGTAAAATACCTTATTAACAGTGACCTGACAGCCTTGATGGCTGGCCATCCTGCAAGTCAGGGTGAACTTCCCAAAGCACACAACAAGGTCATAAATTCCTCTCTAAAGGGCTGATTCCAATAAATCTGCCAGGATCTTACATTTGATTTGTTTGGCATGTCCTCAGTGTGAAGGGTAACATGCTTAGGACAGAAACCATCCCCCTGCTTTGTGTCCTCCCCCATTTCTGATGGACACATCTCTATTGACAGTGCAATAATTGTGATGATTTGTCCGTGGAATAACAAAATTAAAGCACCAGGGTCCAGTGAAGGTGGTGATACAGTGCTGCCATGGATTATTAGCAGTCTGTGTCCTGGGGGGATGCTTGTTCTCACATCAGGCAGAGGAATTGCTGCTTCTCTGGACTCCCAGGACTGGTGGATGGGGGCAGCTGAAGTAAGAGAACCATGAGAGCTCATCCATGAATTTTCTCATCTGATGTTGAAATCCATGGTGGTTGTGTGTTTAATTACTCCCTGTGACTGTGGCAGAATGCACAGCCCTGCTGCAGGGTTTGGTGGACACTGTCAGCCTTCCTTTTTCTCCCTGAACATCTCACAAATCAGCTGCATTTCTTGATGTGGTTCATGGTGGTTTTCTTGCTGGTGAGGGTGCAAGTGCAGCAGAAGTAGTTGTGGCTGTGCTGGAGTGTCCTGGATCCAGAGGTTGTGTGGAGCAGGGAAGGTTCTGGACTGCTGGCAGCTGGGGATGTGGAGTTAATATTTGTGAATCATTTCCCTCGACAGGAGGAGGTTTGACCTGCAGAATCCCTCCCGGATGGACCGGAACGTGGAGATGTTCATGAACATTGAGAAAACACTGGTGCAGGCAAGGACAAACCCAGCCCAGGGCAGGACTTCACCCTGGCCCTCTCCAGGAATGGGGGCTCTCCCCTCCCTCTCCCACCCAGCTTAGTCACAATTCCACCTTTTCACTTGAAAAATGTCAAATATGTCCATTGACCCTCTGTGGATATGCCGAGGTTTTTATTTTGTTTGTGTGAGGAAAACCTGCTGTAAGGCAAGAGAAAAGATCCCAGGTGTCCCCATGTCCCTGTGGAGGTGGCACCCTTGGGGCTGAGTAACTGCTCCTGTACCCATTCCAGGGCTGACTTCCAGTTTGATCTAAACTGGCCTTTTTCAGATGAGGATCCATTTTACTCTTAGTTTATCAAGCAAGTGATTATCTGTGCCCATTAAGCAGCTCTGTGGAGTCTCATTTGAAGTTCAGTTTTTTAATTGCTGAGTGGGAATAATGCATGATTTTTTTTCAAATTCTGAAGCCAAGTTCAGTGTATGATGTAGTCAAAACATGACTTCCAGGTGTCCATTAGGAATGGAAATGGGAAGAATGGCAAAAAAATAACAATATTCTTATTACAAAAAATGCTGAGTGGGAATAATGCATGATTTTTTTTCAAATTCTGAAGCCGAGTTCAGTGTATGATGTAGTCAAAACATAACTTCCAGGTGTCCATTAGGAATGGAAACAGGAAGAATGGCAAAAAACAATATTCTCATTAAAAACCCCCTTGCCCATGTACAGTGGTTTCAGTGCATGATAAAAACCTGGGCAGGGCTTTGTTTGGGATCTGTGTGAAGGGAATGTCCCTGTCCCAGGGCTCCTGGAGCTGGGCTCACTGACCTGTGTCACCCCCTGCTCTGGGTTCCACTGCAGTTCCAGCACTGAGGATTTTCCTAGGAATATTCTGGTTTTTGCCACAGATCACCTCCTAATTCCTTGTTCAACTCCTGTTCTCTCACAGAACAACTGTCTGAGCAGACCAACCATCTACCTCATTCCTGACATGGAGCTGAAGCTGGCCAACAAGCTGAAGGACATTGTCAAGCGTCACCAGGTGGGTGCCACACAGCACAGCTGCACCCAGGGCTGCTCAGCTCTGAGGGACACCCCTGCCTTGGCCCTGGGGCTGCCTGGGGACACAGGGATGGTTTTTATCCTCCCATGGAGGCTGAGCCCTGGCTGGGCTCTAAAAGCACACCTGGACCTGCTGCCAGGTGGCTCTGGGTGAGCTGGGGGCAGGCCCAGCTGGTTTATTGCTCAGTACAGGTTTGTCCAAACCTGAGAGTGAAGCAGGGAGTGAGGCAGCTGTTCCAGATGTGTGGGACAGCAGAAGGAAGTTTCACTCTGAAATGGTCGTTGGTTTTTGCTTTATTTCACTCTTTGATTGCTGGTGCTGAGCAGAGCCCAGGCAGCCCCAGGGAACCTTGCCCTTGTAATTCCAGGTGCTAAAGGATGACTTGAGCAAGATTAATGGCTTCATCCTTAAAAACATAAACAGTCTTCTCACTTGTCTGCAGAGAAATACCCTGGAACGTGACCTCTGGATGGTCTGGTGGCTTTTGTGTCAGGACAAGTCACAGCTGTAGCCAGAGAGTTTCTTTTCCAGATTTAATGCATTTCCTGTGTTGTGATTATGAACCATTGTCTCAGCCTCAGTTGGGCAGATTTTCACAAGTTGCTCTTAATTATTTGGCTGATTCAGGATGGGTGTTATTGCTTAAATTAGAGTGAATGAGTCAATTTTCCTTTCATAAAGGAAGTCTGTAGTGAGCTCCACGCTGCATCCATGAGTGATTTAAGGGATTTTGAAAGCAGCTTTGTCTCTACAGGGATGTGGGGAGATGTAAACAGAAATTGTCCCTAATTCTGCTTTTTGGGCTTTCCTTTGCTCTGCCTCTGAATTCTTATCTTGTCATTGGCTTTGCTTCCTCACTATCTTGGTTATTTTCATTTTTAACCCCTTGCTGTCATCTCCCCACTACCCCAGCCCAGTGCCTGTGGCTCCCTGCTATCCCAAGTCCTCCCTGCTCCAACTTCTGTTGTTTTCCAGCTCCCTCCAGAGTTGCTCCTGTCCCTTCCCTGAGCTGAGGGAGCTCTTGCCCTTCAGCCCCTGATCCCAGAATAGCCCACATCCCACCCCTACAATCCAGGGATAGGATCTGCAGCTCGTTGTGCTGTTAAATCAATCTCTTACACCTTTATGGGATGTAGGTTTTGAACACCAGCTGCCTTTTGGGGTGATGTGCTGAGGGTTTCTCATGCAGTTTCTCCTCTTCCATATTCCCACAGGGAACAGTCACTGAAGAGAAATCCAAGGCCACCCACCACGTGTATCCAAGTCCTACCTCAGTGGATGATGGTAACATTCTGTGACAGTTTTTCAGTGGGAATACTCCTGTAATTAATGCCATGGGAAGTTGTGGAAGTGTTCACCAGGACTGTTCCCAGCTGCTCCTGAGGAACACTTGCTGCATTGTGGATAATGTGCATGGGGAGCTTTAGGCTGGACATGGGGAGAATTCCTCCTGCCCAGGGCAGGGGTGGAGTCCCAATCCCTGGAAGGATTTCAGAGCTGATGTGGCACTTGGGGACATGGGACAATGCTGGGGAATGGCTGCAGTCTGATCTTGGAGGGCTTTTCCAGCCTCAGCAATTCCCTGATTCTGAGCTCCTGGCTCTCCAGGAGTTCTGTAGGGAATGCTGGCACAATCCTTGTGTGTGGGGGGCAAGGAGAGCTCCTCCATGAGCCTTGGCTGTGTTAAAGTTCACTCTGCCTGCATGAAGTGCAAGGTCCAAAAAAAGCAATTTCACTGCTGCCTCTTTCAGCAAATAGCAAAAAATGTTTCTTCCCTTTTTCATCTTAAATAAATTTAGTTACCTGGTGGGTCATTGTCCTCAAGCCCAAGTTGCACAGACATAAATAAATCATTTTCCCACATTTCCTGGCCTGTGCTGGCCACTAGATGGAAGTGCTCCCTGCAGTTTGCAGGGATCAGGAGTGGTTTGTCTGTCCCTCTGGCAGCACCAGGCTCAGCCCTGTGTGTGTCTCAGGCTCTGAGCCCCAGGTCACACTGGGGAGCAGCCCAAAATCCCAGCAGGGATTAGAGATGCAGGTTCACATCCTCGGGGTTTCTCCTGTGATGCTTCTCTGGGCTCTGTAGTTGGGATTTGGGTTGCAGGGTTTGCTACTTGGGAGCTGCAGGGATGGATGGGATATTGGGAATTAGGAATTCCTGCCTGGGAGGGTGGGCAGGGCTGGCACAGGTGCCCAGAGCAGCTGTGGCTGCCCCTGGATCCCTGGCAGTGCCCAAGGCCAGGCTGGACAGGCCTTGGAGCAGCCTGGCACAGTGGGAGGTGTCCCTGCCATGGCAGAGGGGAATTGGGATGAGCTTTAAGGTCCTTTCTCCACTCAGGCCCCAGCAGACCTTTAGCAGAGGGGTTTGCAGTAACTTCCCTCTGCCTTGCTGTGGAAAAGTGAATTATTGTGCTTTTCCCTCCACATCTGACCTGGATCTCGTTCTCTCTGCAGATGAGTGGTTGAGACCTGTGATGAAAAAGGACAAGCAGGTGCTGGTACACTGGGGCTTTTTTCCAGACAGGTAAAGAAGGCTGGGGGAGAGCAAACCCTGAGTTTTAACTGTTTGTTGATGGAACAGTCTTGACCCCAATGTGCAGAGCTTGAAAAGAATGAACCATTGATTTAAAACTGCAGTATCCACATAATTTGTGGCACTGGCAGGTGGGTGAGGCTGGAGAAAGAATTCCTCTGCAGAGCCACAAGAAAGGTTGGAAATTGATTTTAAAGCTGGAATGAGCCTTTCCTTACATTTTAAAGGGAGAACTTCCAGTCACCTGGCTGAGCTCTGACAAAGATTTCACTCCAAGGGTGTCTTCAGTCAGGAAGTGACTTTGAGAAACCTGCCCTGTGCTCTTGGAACATGTTAAAATTCAATGTGGGTGCTGATAGGAACTTCACTGTATTTGCAATAACTGCTTTCTGAGCCCAGGCTGTGGAAGATCAATCAAAACATTGATAACCCAGTATTGACTGCTACTTAATTAACTTTTTCAGGCCACTGAAATCTGTTAACACAGCAAATTCCTAGGAACTCTTATCTCACATGGGGATCTCAGTGGAGGAGAGCAAACAGTAACCACACTGAAGTTTTTTATTCATACAGATGAAGAGCCTTTAAATATTTCTGTATTTCTATCAGTAGTCAGGTTTGTATTGGTGTTTTTAAACCAGGCACACACAAAACAGTATAAAGTATAAAATGCTGTGCACATCTTTCCTTGCACCTGACTCCTCCCTGTTCCTCAGCATCTGGTGTTGGTTACAAAGGACTGTGGCTTGTGCTGCTGCTCAGTGCAGTTTGTTAATAAATAGACTTTGGAGGGAATAATGTGAAAGAGTGAATATAAATAATGAGTGGTTTCTAGGGCAGAGTGCAGCTTCCTCCCTTCCAGGAATCCAGTAGCTCTTGCTTTGAAGTCACAAGAACAGAAAGAAGTGGATTCAATTAATGGCAGGCTTTGGTTGGGTGACTCAGAGCTGCCCCTGAACCTCTCCAGACTTGCACTTGAAGCTGGAGCTGGTTCCTTGAGAGGATTTTTAACTTTTAATGTGCATTAGATGCCCCGGGGCCCGCCCTGTGCCCAGTTCCTGTGGCACAAAGCAGGATTATTCCCTGTGGGAAGCCCTGCAGTCCCAGCAGTGAGGTCTGCACGTGCCAGAGCTGCTGGGAAACCATTCCTGGTGCTCCTGGTGCCTGAGCTGCTCTCTCCTGACCCTCCCCAGCTACGACACCTGGGTCCATGCCAGCGAAATCGAGGCGGAAATTGAGGACGCGCCGATCCCCGAGAAGCCCTGGAAGGTGAGTCTGGCTCAGGCCTGGCAGCTGGGCTGGGGCTGGCTCAGGCCCTGGAAGGTGAGTCTGGCTCAGGCCTGGCAGCTGGGCTGGGGCTGGCTCAGGCCTGGGTCTGGCTCAGGCCTGGGAGCTGGGCTGGGTCTGGCCTGGGAGCTGAGCTGGGTCTGGCCTGGGAGCTGAGCTGGGTCTGGTCTGGGAGCTGGGCTGGGTCTGGCTCAGGCCTGGGAGCTGAGCTGGGTCTGGCCTGGGAGCTGAGCTGGGTCTGGTCTGGGAGCTGGGCTGGGTCTGGCTCAGGCCCTGGAGGGAGCTGGGCTGGGTCTGGCTCAGGCCCTGGGAGCTGAGCTGGGTCTGGCTCAGGCCTGGGAGCTGAGCTGGGTCTGGCTCAGGCCCTGGAGGGAGCTGAGCTGGGTCTGGCTCAGGCCCTGGAGGGAGCTGAGCTGGGTCTGGCTCAGGCCCTGGAGGGAGCTGGGCTGGGTCTGGCTCAGGCCCTGGGGAGGAGAGGTGAGGTGAGTCTGGCTCAGGCCCTGGAGGGAGCTGAGCTGGGTCTGGCTCAGGCCTGGGAGCTGAGCTGGGTCTGGCTCAGGCCCTGGAGGGAGCTGGGCTGGGTCTGGCTCAGGCCTGGGAGCTGAGCTGGGTCTGGCTCAGGCCCTGGGGAGGAGAGGTGAGGTGAGTCTGGCTCAGGCCCTGGAGGGTGAGTCTGGCTCATTCCTTCCCAGGATTCCTGGGCTGGGGCTGTTGGCTGTTGCCCTGCTCTGGTTGTTCTGCACTCACTGTGTTCCCCTGGCCATGTTCTGGGTGTGCTCCTGGAGTCACAGCAGCCCAGGCTGAAAGGACCCTGGAGTCTGGTCAAACACCTGTAACTCACTGGAAAACAGCATTTTGGGGTATAAACCTTACTAGGAATTGTCAGAGAGAATTGTGTGAAGTATTAACAAATTGTATAAATTACTGTAAAGCACCAGAAGTTTTCTCAGGTGTGTAAACCAACCTCTCTGAAGATGGGTGTTATAATCCTGACAGTTGGTTTTGTCCCCCCAGGGAATGGCCAACTCTCCCTCACTTTTTGGTGTTAGTGGCACACCTGCCAAGGGGATGTGTGTATTTAGGAGGTTTTAATGGCAATTCTCAGCATCCAAAGAGCACTGGTAACTCAGAACTGCTGTCCCAGCTCTCAGAACTGACCTCCCACTCCAGGAGGCCTGAAAGTGCTTGAGGAGCAGAGGTTGGGTTCTGAGTCCTGCTCATCCTTTGTGGCCCTGTGACACTGCCAGGAGTGTGTGAAACCAGAGGGATTGGGACATTCAGACCTGGTGAAGCTCCAGGGATGTCCCCAATCCTGGGAGGTCTCTCATGGAGTTATTTCTCCCCAAGGCGTCAGCCTGTCCCTGTCTCCTGTCGTGCAGGTTCATGCCAAGTGGATTCTGGACACGGATGTGTTCAATGAGTGGATGAATGAGGAGGATTATGAGGTGGATGAGAACAGGAAATCCGTGAGCTTTCGCCAGAGGATCTCCATGAAGAATGAGGAGGTGGGTGGGGGCCTGCAGGGACAGCAATGTCCTTTACCTCTGCATGCACAGAGCTGGAAAAGGAAGGGATCCAGGCAGAGCTCAGAGCTCTTTCCAGGCCCTAAAGGGGCTCCAGGAGAGCTGGAGAGGGACTGGGACAAGGCCTGGAGGGACAGGACACAGGGAATGGCTCCCACTGCCAGAGGGCAGGTTGGTATGGATGGGATGTTGGGAATTGGGAATTCCTGGCTGGGAGGGTGGGCAGGCCCTGGCACAGGGTGCCCAGAGCAGCTGTGGTGTCCTGTTCTGGGGTGGGTTAAGGAAGGGTGCAGCTCTGCAGTGGGGGAATCTGGGGGTAACTCCAAGCTCTGCTCCCCCCCAGCCCGTGCGGAGCCCTGAGAGGAGGGACAGGAAAGCAGCAGCCAGCACCAGGAAGAGGAAACACTCCCCCTCTCCACCCCCCACTCCTGTGGAGTCCAGGAAAAAGACAGGGAAGAAAGGGTGAGTGTCTGCAGGTGTCCAGAGGCCTGGAGTTTGAGGTGAAAAGAAATGAGGAAAAGAAATTCAAGAAATGCTTATGGGGAGAGCTCTGTGACCTGGGGCTCTGGAATTATTTCTGGCTAGGCTTGAGGGATTGTTCCTGAGCAGTTTGTGCAATTCCTTATTCTACCAATATTTTACCCAAATAAAAACTTAATTACTGTTAATTAAATAGTAATTAGGAAGTTTTTAATAGTAATTAAAAACCTAATTAGTAACTATGGGTTATTATGTGTGGGTATGGAGGGGAGCACTTCAAAGCTAAAAATTCGGGTCTTGTTTATGGACCTAATAAGACAAAACAGGAATTTCATCAAGAATGAGTTGATAATCTGAATTCCTCCTTCCAAGTGTAGAGCCTGAGTTGGGGTCTGTGAGGAGATGTGGTTCTGCCTGTTCCCAGAGTGGTTTCAGGAGGGCTTGACCCTCCTGTCCTGGCACTGAGCTCTGCCCAGGAGCATCTGGCACAGCCCCTGTGTCTGCTGTGTTCCAGGCAAGCAGCTCTCTATGGCAAAAGGAGGGGGCAGAAGGAAGAGGATGAGCAGGAGGATCTCACCAAGGACATGGAGGATCCCACCCCAGTACCCAACATAGAAGAAGTGGTACTTCCCAAAAATGGTAAAATATGGGAACACTTTGGGCTCTTTGCATGTTAGAGATTGAACTGAATTAAAATTGTGTCTATATTTTGTCACATCTTTGAAGTACTCCATGGCCATGGGGTAGGTGGTCTCTGCCCATAAATTTATCTAGTCAGGCATGTAACAGCTGAAAAGGGCAGCAGTGTCACCTCCTTTTGCCCTTTCAAAATACAAAGCTACATTTATAAAAGACACTTTTAAAAATAGATTTACAGCAATCTGCTTAAATGTTTCATTTCACTGGGTCATGTTGGGGGAAATGGAGTTTTCTGGAGCAAAGTATTTCCCTGCCAAGCCCCCAGAAGAAGGATGTTTAATGAGTGGAAAATGTGCTAGTGTCAAGTGGTTTTAGTCCCTTTCAGGGAAGTGTTGATGTGGGCAATAATAATTCTGGGAAAAGGAATTCCTTCAGCATCCCTGGCAGCAGATAATTTTGGGAGTCTCTCCGTTTGGGTGTTCCTTGGTGTGGGTTTGCACTGAAGCCTGGTGGGTGCTGGGCAGGTGGGGAGGAGCTGGGAATGCAGGGCAATGGGACAAACGGGCCCTTGTGCTGCTGTGTGAACTCCTGAACTGCAGCCAGAGCCCGGGGAAACGAGGCCAGGCTGCAGAGCTGCTGTCTCTGCTCTCATCACTCCTGTTCTTGCAGTGAACCCAAAGAAGGACAGTGAGAACACGCCCGTGAAAGGAGGAACCGTGGCAGACCTGGGTAAAGCCCCTGCACCCCCAGCCTCAATCCTGCTTGCAGTCAATGTTTTTTAATCTATCTTAAGTATTTCTAAATCTCTCAATTTAAAAAGCAATCTCTACCTCTGCTATTTTATTGAATTAATTAATATTTCATACACATTCAAGTTCCAGTGTACCAGCTCTTCACTGCAAAACTGGTCCCTCATAGGCTATTGTTATTTTTATTTTTTTAACATGACATACGAGCTCTTTTCTAGCAGATTTTTTTTTTTTACTGGGAATCAGGGTAAATCACATGTTCCCTGAGCTTTGCTGAGCCTTGACATGAGATACAAACTCATATCCCCCATCTTATTATACAGAAGTCACCTAGGACACTGGGAAAGGAAGTAATTAATTATGGATTCTGAAGTGTTGAGAAATTCTAATTATCCTTCCTCTGTTCTTACCTGTTCCCTGGTCTGGGATAGGTAAAGGTGTAATTGTTTTAGTGATGTGGGATCCACTTTGTTTCCCTCTTCCCTTCCCTTCCCAAAGGAATTAAATGTCCTTTCCAGTTAAACAGTTATGTTGCTGGAAAGGCTCCTGAGCACTTAAATGAGTTTATTGGTGTAATTCTCAATGTTTTTATCTTTCAGATGAGCAGGATGAGGAGACAGTGGCTACTGGAGGAAAGGTAACAGCACCTGCTGCTTCCTACATTTGGTAACAACTGAGATTGTACAATCCCAGATGGTTTGGCTGGAGGGGACCTTAAAAAACACCCAGTGCCACCCCTGCCACTGTCCCAGGCTGCTCCAGCCCTGTCCAGCCTGGCCTTGGGCACTGCCAGGGATCCAGGGGCAGCCACAGCTGCTCTGGGAATTCCATCCCAGCCCCGCCCCAGGAAGAATTCCTCCCCAGTATCCAACCCTGCCCTTTCTCCTCGAAGTCATTCCCTGTGTCCTGTCAAGGTCTTAATCTCACCTTCAGTAACTTCACCTGAACTCATTTTGCAGTGATCTGTGAGATTAAATCAGTTACTGACAGGACTGAGGGTTTGTTATTACAGAACTCTCCAGATTCTGTGGATGATTGGTATTTTTAAATCTGGTGTATTGAAAAGGAGACAGATGCCGAGTATTTTCCAAGAGGCATTTTTCAGATGAGAGGTTTTGCTTTGGTTTTTCAGTTTTAGAACTAAATCTAAACCCTGCTTTGGCTGCCTGATCATTTCAGTAGAGCTGCAGGGGTAGTTTCTGTATTGAATTGCATTTCTGGCGTGCCAGGCACTATTTTTAACAGATGTCAGATCACTGAGTGTGTTCAGAGTGATACCTTGTTGTCTTTGGGGGGAGCTCAGTCCCAGATAAAGATCCACTATTGACACCAGTGACTCCTCAGGGCCTGCCTGTGGGCCTTGGCTATTTTTAACATGGCTCAAACAACACCCGAGGTGTTTTGTACACTTCTTGAAGTACCCTGACCCTGTTTTGCTGCCTCCCCTGTGCCCTCCTCACCACCAGCGTGGCTCAGGAGCTGGCACTTGAGATGCAGGACAACAGCTGATGACAGGAGAGCCCCAAAGCTGTCCCTGCTTTGGGGGTGTCACGGTGTGTGTGTGCTGGCCTCAGCCTGCTGTGTCCCCCTGTGCCCCAGGAGGACGAGGACCCCAACAAGGGCGACCAGAGCCGCTCCCTGGACGCGGGGGAGGACAATGTCACCGAGCAGACCAACCACATCATCATCCCCAGCTACGCCTCCTGGTTCGACTACAACTGGTGAGGGGCTGCCCACGGGGGGTTCCCTGGCCTGCTGGCTGCTCTGCCTGTCCTGTGCCCCTGTGACATCTCGTGTGGGGAGGCAGTCAGGTGCACACACCACGCTCACCACGGCCAGCTCAGCCAGGAGAGGCAGCAGGGCCTTCTCGGGGTCAGCTCCAGAGAGGTTTGTTTCAGCACACCAAAGGGAAATCAGGGCCCAAAGGCCTGGCCGTGTGCTGTGCTGAGTGGGAGGGCACAGGGGTGGCTTCAGGGGACATGGGGCCAGCCACCAGGGGTGCCACAACCAAGGACGGAACAGGGAAAGGAGAAGCCAACAGAATTTGGGGCATGTGGGGAAGGGTCTGGAGTGGTTCATGGGGTTGTGCAAATCTCCGTGGGGAAGTCTTCTCCTTCAGCCTGGGTGGGGAAAACTATGGGAAATTCTTCCATGGGGGTTTCCCTGAGGGGGAAGGATTCAGAGGATTCCACAGCAGCCCTGGGGTTCTGTCTGAGGAGGAAGGATTCAGGGGATTCCACAGCAGCCCTGGGGCTTTCCTTGAAGGGGAAGGATTCAGAGGATTCCACAGCAGCAGCCCTCGGGATTTCCCTGAAGAGGGAAGGATTCAGAGGATTCCAAGCAGCCCTGGGGTTCTGTCTGAGGAGGAAGGATTCAGGGGATTCCACAGCAGCCCTGGGGCTTTCCTTGAAGGGGAAGGATTCAGAGGATTCCACAGCAGCCCTCGGGATTTCTGTGAGGAGGAAGGATTCAGAGGATTCCACAGCAGCCCTGGGGTTCTGTCTGAGGAGGAAGGATTCAGAGGATTCCACAGGCCAGGCTTCACTTGGTTTTGTTTTCTCACCAATCAGCCTGGGAGCTGAAGGAAGTGACTCTTGTTTAGGTCTGGTTCCATGTTTTGTGCTGAAATCAATCTGGCCCTTGTCAGGGGTTGGGAGTGAGGAAGAGGATTTCAAACAGGTTTTGCATACATTGATTTCCCTCTAATTCCCACCTCCATTCCTTTCTCTCTTTTACTTCTCTAGTCGTTGTCTGCCCATTCTGTGTTTGTCTCTACTGCTGAAAGCCTTTATGTTTTGCTTCAGAACTTGATTTTGAGGAGAAGTCACTGATTCTAGAGGGAGGACATTTGTTGCAGCCTGGAATCCTCTTGGGGTCAGGGCTGTTTCAGGATCTGACACCTGAACTGTTTTGTTGCAGCATCCACGTGATTGAACGTCGTGCACTTCCAGAGTTCTTCAATGGGAAAAACAAGTCCAAGACTCCAGAAATGTGAGTGAAACCTTGGAGTGTGGGCAGTGACAGTGTGGCTGGATAAAGGAGCTTCCCATCCCAGAAATCCTGTGGCCACAGCTGGGTGTGTGAGAGGCTGATACTTCCTGTAGGGCCTGAAGGAGAGACAGAGCCACTGACAGTGTGTGTACATTGCTGTGGTAGGGATAAAAGTTTAAACACCAAAGTGATATTTACCCCAGGTGAAATAAAACTGCTTTCCCCCAAGTAATACTGGAACAAATTCTCCAACTCCTGTGTGGTACAAGGTGTGATCAACTTCCAAAGTCATGTTAAAATGTCATGAAAGGGTAGAAGTGGAACAATCCTGCTTATTCCTCCCTCTCTCCTCATGCCATGCTCTATTTCTGTATTTGGTGTGTTGTAGATCCTGTCTCAGGCTGTGGAGTGAATTCTCTGTTCTGAGTTTGGTTATTCAGAGTGATCTTGAAAGGCCATGGATAAAGGAAGGATGGTCAAAGGCTTTGAACAATATGCTTGTTTCTATTAAAATGATGCCAAACCTGAGATTTCACACACAAAAATCCTGGGTTTGGACACACTAGAGTGTGCTGAAGTAATACTGGAACAAATTCTCCAACTCCTGTGTGGTACAAGGTGTGATCAACTTCCAAAGTCATGTTAAAATGTCATGAAAGGGTAGAAGTGGAACAATCCTGCTTATTCCTCCCTCTCTCCTCATGCCATGCTCTATTTCTGTATTTGGTGTGTTGTAGATCCTGTCTCAGGCTGTGGAGTGAATTCTCTGTTCTGAGTTTGGTTATTCAGAGTGATCTTGAAAGGCCATGGATAAAGGAAGGATGGTCAAAGGCTTTGAACAATATGCTTGTTTCTATTAAAATGATGCCAAACCTGAGATTTCACACACAAAAATCCTGGGTTTGGACACACCAGAGTGAGGCAGTGGGACTGGCCTGGTTGGGTCACTTTGTCCTGGTGTCAAATCTTGGCTTGGTTCCAAAGCTGCTTTTGGGGATTTTAGAAGGTGGCTTTTCAACCAAGTACTACAGGAAGTGTTTGAGGTGTCTCCTCATTGTCCTGATGTCATCTGGGCCCTTCATTGCCCATACACAGCATTCCATGGGATCCCAGAATGGTTTGGGCTATCCCAGACCTTAAAAAACACCCAGTGCCACCCCTGCCATGGCAGGGACACCTCCCACTGTCCCAGGCTGTTCCCAGCCCTGTCCAGCCTGGCCTTGGGCACTGCCAGGGATCCAGGGGCAGCCACAGCTGCTCTGGGAATTCCATCCCAGCCAGGAATTCCCAATTCCCAATCTCCCATCCATCCCTGCCCTCTGGCAGTGGGAGCCATTCCCTGTGTCCTGTCCCTCCATCCTTGTCCCCAGTCCCTCTCCAGCTCTCCTGGAGCCCCTTCAGGCCCTGCCAGGGGCTCTGAGCTCTCCCTGGAGCTTCTCCTCTCCAGGGGAACATTCCCAGCTCTCCCAGGCTGGAGAGGAGAATCCCTGCAGGGTTTGTCCTTGTGCTGGAATCTCCCACCTCAGGTGTGGCTGCTGGTCTGTGATGCTTTGGGTCTGATAAAGAAACAGCAATTGGGGACTGTCCTTTCTCTTGGTGGTGTGGTGGTGGTTGTGCCCTGCCCCAGGAGGCCCCTGGGGTGCAGCCAGGCTGTCCCTGGGCCTGTGCCAGGGCAGAAACAGCTCAGGCTGGAATGGAGCAGGTTCTGGCTGGAGAAAAGGGGAGTTTTGAGCTCTGAACAAGATGAGGCACTGGGATGGGGCTTTGGGAAGCTGGGATTGCTCCTCCTTGGAGTCTTTCAGGCCTGCCTGGACAAAGCCCTAAGAAACCTGGTGACAATTCATGGCTTGAGCAGGAGCTTGGCTCAGACACCCCAAGGATTCCCAGTCCTTGGTGTGTCCTCCCAGCCTCTCTGCAGTGTGAGTGCAGAGGAAGCACAGCTGCACCCCAGAGCCCCAGCAGGGCTTGGGGACAAGGGGCTCTGAAGATCTCTTGTTCCACTGCCTGCCATTCCAAAATGGCTTTGTTCCAAGGCTCATCCAACACTGCCTCTGTTCCAGCAGTTTTGCTGCCCGGGAAATTGTAGTTTGGGGGTTTGTCAGGGTGAGAGGCAGCAGACAGCTGCAGTGTGGAAGGAGTGTTCCTCTCCTGGATCTGTGGGCCCTGTGATTGTCACTGCAGGCCCAGGTGCCCTTCTGCAGCTGGCATCCCAAATCAGTGCTCCTGCTGCTCCTCCCTGGGCTGCCACTGCTCTCTGCCTGCCATGGAAGCAGCCTGGGGACTCCTGCCAGTCCTCCTGTCATCCTGGAGATCTCATTGTGGTGCCATTTTGGGGTTGTAGGAGCTGCACGTGGTCCTGGCTCTGTGTTTTCTTTTGAGATCAAAGAGGAACATCCCTCTGAGTGGGGATGAGTGGCCTCCAGCTGAGTGTTCAGGCCAGAACATGGTGCTGGAGGAGCTCACACAGGTTCATCCTTGTGACAGCAGTGCCTGGGGTAGGCCCTGGGCAAAGGGATTCAGCTAAATCCTGCTTGACTTCTCACTGCTGACAGGTCATGGCTCAAAACCATCTCCCTTCAGAACCAACCTGGGAATGTTTCTGTCTTGGGCTTCTCCCTCCACCTCATGCTGTGACCTTTGCTAATAAATACCAATTCCTGCAGCCAAGACCTGTTCCTGGGCAGGTTCTTCCCCTCCTCCCCTGGAGCATTCAGAAATGTTCTCAGTATTCCTCTCTGCAAGAAGCTCCTTTTTGTTTCTTGCCTCCCAAGCATCCCACATGGAGCCAAACACCTACTCCAGCAATTTTCTTCCAGCCAGTTGCACATATGATCTGGTCAGGAGGAAGATGTGGGATTTTGGCAGGGACATGTGCTTGCAGCATCTGCCTGCTCAGGCCTTGCCTGGATGATTTATATTTTTGGTTCCCAGCTGCTTCACATACTGCATGTGAAACATTCCCCCCTGGAATTTTCCAAAGGCAGAAATCTGCTTTAAAACCACTGTTTTTCCACAGCTTTGCATTGGATGCTCACTAAACAGAATCCTGCAATAATTTGGGTAGAAAAGGACCATAAAGCTCATCTCACTCCACCTACCTGCCATGGGCAGGGGCACCTTCCATAGTCCAGGTTGCTCCAAGCCCCATCCAGCCTGGATGGTGCCAACCTGTCTGTGGCAGATTGGGTTTGTTCCCTCTAAAGAGCAGGGCTATCAATAATTTTATGACAGGTTATTTTCTTCAGCATAATTTGTATTAGGAAGCATCAGTATATTCCAGAATCTTACTGAAATGGGGGAATCTCTGAGGGATTGTTTCTGCTCCAGCTGTTCCCAGCTGTGCTGGCTCTGGATTCTTGTCCTCTGCTTTTCAAAGGTTTTTTCTTCTCCCTGTTCTCCAGCCTTTCCTGCCTCATCCCTTCATCCATTAAAAACTCCACATGCAGCCACAGCAGTGTTCCATTCACTTCTGCTTTTCTGTGCAGCTTTTTTCCTTCACACAGGGGTGCAGAAGGATTATTTATCCTGCTCCTGTGTGAAGAGCAGACACCGTTCTTCTCCTCCTGCAGCTTCTATTCTGTTGTGGGAACATTTGATCAGTGACCAAGTTCCAACAGATAATTGTGTGATTTACAATTTCAACATGTTTCCATGTGCTGCTACTCCAAACACAGGAGAAAATCCAGAGTGAAAGAGTTTGGAAGAATGTGAATTCCCCTTAGCTGTTGGTTCTGAAATTGCACCAACAAAAGAGATCTGTTGGTGTTTCCTGGTCAGAGACGGGTGTTTGTGGGGGTGAGTGTTGAAATGCCTGCCCTGGGCTGTGGGGGAGCTCAGGGGACAGAGCTGGTGGCCTTTGTGTTGCAGATACCTGGCCTACAGGAACTTCATGATCGACACGTACCGCCTGAACCCGCAGGAGTACCTGACCAGCACAGCCTGCAGGAGGAACCTCACCGGGGACGTCTGTGCTGTCATGAGGTGACAGCCTGGCCTCTGGGGGCCTTTGGGGGCCTTTGGGGGCCTTTGGGGGCTGGGCCTTTGGGGGCTGCAGCTGCTGGGCATTTCCAGGCATCAGCAGCATCGTGGAATAACTGAGGGTGGAAAAGCCCTTCACAGACTGAGCCCAGCCCGTGCCCTATCCCCAGCCCAGAGTAACATCCAGGCCTTCCTTGAACAACTCTAGGTCACTTTTCTGGGCAGCCCCTGCCAAGGCCTGAGCATCCTTTGCATGGGGAAATCCCTGCTGTGCCCAGCCTGAGGCCGTTCCCTCTGCTCCTGTCCCTGTTCCCTGGAGCACAGCCCGATTCCCCCAGCTGTCCCCTCCTGGCAGGAGCTGTGCAGAGCCACAAGGTCCCCCCTGATCCCCCTTTTCTCCAGGCTGAGCCCCTTCCCAGCTCCCTGAGCCCCTCCTGGGGCTCCAGCCCCTTCCCAGCTCCATTCCCTGGACACACTCCAGCCCCTCAGGGTTTATCTTTGGGGCCCAGAGGCAGGAGCTGTGCAGAGCCACAAGGTCCCCCCTGAGCCCCCTTTTCTCCAGGCTGAGCCCTTCCAGCTCCCTCAGCCCCTCCTGGGGCTCCAGCCCCTTCCCAGCTCCATTCCCTGGACATTCTCCAGCCCTTCAGGGTTTATCTTTGGGGCCCAGGACTGGACTCAGTCAGGCTTTGGTTTCTCCATCACTCTGCAGTGCCCTCAGGTGTGCACAGAGCTCCTGCTCTGGGATTTGTTTTGCTCTTTGGGATTAATGAAGGACTAGAGGAGCTCCTGGGTCTGGATTTGATCCAGCAACATCAGCTCTTTGTCCCCTCCCACATGAAGCACAATCAAACCTTTGGTGGCCAAGGCTGCATCTGTCCTGTTTTTCCCAGGGTCCACGCCTTCCTGGAGCAGTGGGGGCTCATCAACTACCAGGTGGATCCCGAGAGCCGCCCCATGGCCATGGGGCCCCCCCCGACCCCCCACTTCAACGTGCTGGCCGACACCCCCTCGGGGCTGATGCCGCTGCACATCCGCACTGCCTGCCCAGCTGGGGTAATGTCCCCTTCCTGCCTGCCCAGCTGGGGTAATGTCCCCTTCCTGCCTGCCCAGCTGGGGAATGTCCCCTTCCTGTCTGCCCAGATGGGGAATGTCCCCTTCCTGCCTGCCCAGCTGGGGAATGTCCCTTGCTGAGCAGCTGGGGAAAATGTCCCCTTCGTGCCTGAGCAGCTGGGGAAAATGTCCCCTTCCTGCCTGAGCAGCTGGGGGAAGTGTCCCCTTGTTGAGCAGCTGAGAGAAGTGTCCCCTTCCTGCCTGCCCAGCTGGGGTAATGTCCCCCTTGCTGGGCAGCTGGGGTAATGTCCCCTTCCTGCCTGCGGGCCCCGGGGCTGCCTCCCACAGCCAGGGGCAGAGCCCAGCTGGGGAACGTCCCCTTCCTGCCTGCCCAGCTGGGGAATGTCCGGCTGGGGGAAACGTCCCGTTGTTGAGCAGCTGAGAGAAGTGTCCCCTTCCTGCCTGCCCAGCTGGGGAAATGTCCCCCTTGCTGTGAGCTGGGGGAAATGTCCCCCTTGCTGCCTAGCTGGGGGAAATGTCCCCTTGCTGGGCAGCTGGGGTAATGTCCCCTTCCTGCCTGCCCAGCTGGGGGAAGTGCCCCCCTTGCTGCCCAGCTGGGCCCAGCATCCAAGGCAGTTCTGTGCAGAACCACTCACACATTGCTCAGACAGTCCCCTTCCTGCCTGCCCAGCTGGGGAAATGTCCCCTGCCTGACAGCTGGGCTCAGCTCCACGGCAGTTCTGTGCAGAACCACTCACACATTGCTCAGACATTTGTTTTAGTGTCTTTGGCTTGTGTGCAGCTTCTCTGTCCGGTCCATGTTCTGTTGAGTGTTGGTCTGAAAACCTTGGATAACTTTGTATTCCTGCCCCTCTCCCCTGTAATGTTTGTTCCCAGGTTCCAGCTGCCCAGCAGATGCTGAGCTTCCCTGAGAAGAACAAGGAGAAGCCAACTGACCTGCAGAACTTTGGCCTTCGCACAGACATCTACTCCAAAAAGACTCTGGCCAAGGCAAGTGTCCCCTCCAGCTCCCAGTGAGCTTTGTTGTTCCTCAGGTGTCCCCCACTCTGTGTCCCTGAGGTAACTTGTGTTGCTCCTCCACTCCTGCTCTGGGTGTCTTCCATCCCTGTGCAGGACACTGCGCTGGGAGGCTGTGCTGGAATTCTGATTTCGTGGGAATAAAGACATGGACAGCTTCCCAGAGCAGTCCACACTGTCAGCCTCAGATGCCAAGCTCGCTGTGTTCCTGCATGTCCTGCTGGAATGGCTCAGCATCAGCAAACCATCCAAGGGTTCAGGACACAGAGATTCCAGCAGGATCTCAGCCTCTCCTGGTCCCAGGCTGGCAGACAGGGACCCCAGTTCCCACTGGTTGGTGTCCTGGGGGCTTCTGGGCACTGTCATTGCAGAGTGTCACACAGGGTAATGAAACTTGGGAGGCATCTTTGCAGTGGTGTGTTGATTCCACAGCCTCCTGCTTTTCCCTGCCCCCTGTGTGTCCCTGGAGGTGCTGTGGGAGTGCCAGGGTACCTCAGCACAGCCTCCAGTGGGAACTGGGACTCTCCAGAGCTGGCTATTGCCCCTCCGTGGGTGGCACCAGGCTAATTCTGTGCCATTGGTTCATTGTCCTCAGAGGTCACTGTAAAAAACAACTATTTACCACTTCAGACCATCCTTTAAAAACCCCACAAACCCAAACCAGATCTGGAGGTATTTTTATAAAGCTGGGTCCATCTCACATTTCATGGATTGACTTTTTCACTTGTTAAGAGGTATAAATGCTCTCCAAATTGATAAATGTGTTGCTGGTTCTGGGCTCAGGCTCTGTTTACAGGGGCTGTGAACTGGAGCAGGTTTGTTGGCAGATTGCCCTGTTTGGTTTCTGTGTGCTGGGGCTTTTGGCTGTGGAGAGCAGCAGTTGGGTGACTCACATTGATTAATGTTCTGTGTGGGTTAATGAGCTGTTTGAAATGCATCTGGAGATAACATTTATTATCCTAAATAGCCTCTTCCTCTCAGTCTAGCACAGAGCCATCCAGTGGTGCTGATGTTCCTTAGGAGCTGTCAGGGTGTCACGGGAGGGGAAGCTCCACCAGGAATTTGGAACTTTTATCCCATCTGAGCAGTTTACCACGAGGGGCAGATTTGGGAGCAGCAGATAATCCTGTTGGAATTACTCTGCCTTCTCACACAGCTCATCCCCCTGTAAAGAATTATTTCTCTACTGAGTGACTGATGAACTTGGAGATAAATTAACTTATTTTGGACCAGCCCAGCCCACTCTGCCTCCAGCACTCAGAGGGGGTTTATTATTCAGGAAACCCCTCTCTGCTGTGTGTGCAGGCACAGATCAATGTGAGAAGAAGGTGCAGATCCCTTTGCTTCTCTCAGAAGGTGTGGTGTGATGTGACCCCCAGCTGTGCCTTCACTTCATGGACCCCTGCATGGGCTGACCAGCTAGAGGGGGGAGGTTGGAGTGGATCAAATCACAGCTTCTTCCCCTTTCCTACTCAGTGTTTTCTCCTACAAGGTTTTCTGTAAGAAGTCCTCTGTTTCACCTTTTTTTTTCCCCTCCTGTCTTTTGTAGAGTAAAGGTGCAAGTGCTGGCAGAGAATGGACAGAGCAGGAGACACTGCTGCTGTTAGAGGTGAGTTCATGAGCCAAGCCAAGAGGGGCAGGTCAGGCTTTAAAAATCCACAATTTTTTAGAGTTAGATGACAGCTGCCATCATGGCTACAAGAGTGTTGCTACCAAAAAGAGATGGCAGGAGCATCTCTGTGAGAGAGGGGCTGCCTGTGTCTGAGGGTTGCTTCTAATTTGGACCTGCAAGCCAGAAATGAAGCATTTAGGAGTTTGTGTTAGTCAGGAGCAGGTTTTGCAGTGCAGGAGCAGCAGATAATCCTGTTGGAATTACTCTGCCTTCTCACAAGCTCATCCCCCTGTAAAGAATTATTTCTCTACTGAGTGACTGATGAACTTGGAGATAAATTAACTTATTTTGGACAAGCCCAGCCCACTCTGCCTCCAGCACTCAGAGGGGGTTTGTTATTCAGGAAACCCCTCTCTGCTGTGTGTGCAGGCACAGATCAATGTGAGAAGAAGGTGCAGATCCCTTTGCTTCTCTCAGAAGGTGTGGTGTGATGTGACCCCCAGCTGTGCCTTCACTTCATGGACCCCTGCATGGGCTGACCAGCTAGAGGGGGGAGGTTGGAGTGGATCAAATCACAGCTTCTTCCCCTTTCCTACTCAGTGTTTTCTCCTACAAGGTTTTCTGTAAGAAGTCCTCTGTTTCACCTTTTTTTTCCCCCTCCTGTCTTTTGTAGAGTAAAGGTGCAAGTGCTGGCAGAGAATGGACAGAGCAGGAGACACTGCTGCTGTTAGAGGTGAGTTCATGAGCCAAGCCAAAGGGCAGGAAACCAAGCCAGGAGGGGTAGGTCATAAAAATCCACAATTTTTTAGAGTTAGATGACAGCTGCCATCATGGCTACAAGAGTGTTGCTACCAAAAAGAGATGGCAGGAGCATCTCTGTGAGAGAGGGGCTGCCTGTGTCTGAGGGTTGCTTCTAATTTGGACCTGCAAGCCAGAAATGAAGCATTTAGGAGTTTGTGTTAGTCAGGAGCAGGTTTTGCAGTGCAGAGAGGTGCTTTCATTCAGCAGGACTCACTGACAGTGTGAAATGATGTCACTAATTCAAACCGTGGTAAATATTCAGGTAAAGGTTTACCTGGCACTCAGATGGATAAATTCTTGGGAGTCTTGATTTCCAAGCCATGCCACAGCCTAGGGAAAGAGCTCATTTTGGAAGCTGAAGTGGTTGAGAAACAGCTGAGGCCACGGAGAAGGCAAGTTCTTTGGAAGCTCCTTCATCCCATCTGTCTCCTCCTTGGGGTGTTCTTTGAGCTTTTTCTGGAAGTCTACAAAAAAAATCCCTGAGATCCTTCCATGAGGTGCCTTATGGTGCAGGCTGGTGTCCCCAGGTGGCTTCCAGTGAAGCTCTGGAGCACATGGGGACGGGTGGAATTGGAATTGCAGTGGGGATGGAACCCTCAGAGGAGCTGCAGAGGGTTCTGGGCTCTCACATCAGGGCAGATGTTTTCTCTTTGCCTCAGCAGAAGAATCTCAGTGGTCTGAAATAATTTGAAGTGCTTCCACTTCCTGCAAAGACAAGATCTTCTCCCCATCTTTGCTTTCACAGGAACATTTTCCTGATGCAGAGACTTCATGGCTGATTTCTTTCTTTTAAAGTAATTCAGAGTTCTGAGAACGGCAGTTTAGGGCTCTGTTTTTGTTGGGTTTTATTTGCAGAGCTCAGAGCAAACTGCAATTGCCTGGTTGTTTCAGCTTTTTTGTCTTCCCATGTGTCAATAAACCCATTGAAAAGTTAATTTCCTGGGGAAAAGCCTGGAGGATGGACCTGTGTCAGTGCCAAATGAGCAGCTGTGATTCAGTCTTCACACATATGGAGTGTGGTCATCAAACAGCCAAAATCTCCCATTTTTTCCTCTTTATTTTAGGTTGATATTCACTGTTTAGCCAATACTTTTCTATTGGCACATGGAAAAATTTTGCTTATGGGGTGTAAACAGCTGTTTTCCATGGCATTCTTGTAAGGAAAAACAAGGCTAATGCCTTGATATACTGACTTCTTTCCTTTTTTATTTATTTAAATATATTATTGTAATATTTAATATTAATAGTACTGTTATTTAAAATTCATTGGTTTGTATGTTTTTAGCTTATGGTCATACACTGCATGTTGTAGCCCAATTAAATAATCCAGTGACATATTCTATGTTTAAAACAAACCAAACCCACTCTAAATCTTGAGATTGCAATTCTGTTTAATGAGTTTAAATTAATAATGTTTTTGTTCCTCCTTTTTCATGGACTTGCTCCATGAATAAATCAGTAAAGAGTATATCAGTTCAAGCATAAGTAATTCAGCTGTAACAAGCCAGCTCAGTCCAATTAAATCCTCAGGGTAGCTTTGGGCAAATAGATAGGCAGCGAAGTTCCAAATAATAAATCATATCTGAAATATAATTATTGGCCTTCTGCCTGTTGACTGAATAATTTGGGGGAGGAAATAGAGTTTTCCTCCCCAAAGCAGCCTCCCTGCACAGCCCTGTCCGTGTCCCCACGGCTCAGGCAGAGTTAAATGCATTTTCAGCTATTTTTAGGAAGGACATTTATTGCGAGCGAGGGTTTGTCTGGCAGGAAAACAACAGACGGGCAAGGAGGAGGAGCAGAAAGCAGAAATTTGGGGGTTGAGAAGCAGAGCTGATCTCATGTGCCAGTGGGGTTAAAAATGGAGATGGGGACTGAGAGCCCAGAGGTGAAACTAGGGAAAGGGCAATAAAGGCTGAGCAGAGAATAAATATCTCCCTTGAGTGTGGCCTGCTGAGCTGAGGAAGGGACCTTGGAAGGTGCCAGGGGCAGGAGAGGGGCTCAGCAGGGCTTGGGGATGGTGATTCCCATGGGGGGAGCAGGCTGGCCAGTGCAGCCTGTCCCAGGGCATTCCCAAGGCCAGGGAATCCCTCAGCTCTCCCATCCCATGGTGGTGCTGCTCGGGGTCTTCAGCAGCTCCTGGCTGTTCTCCCCACCCAGCTGACCCCTCCTGCTGCTGGGAGGGAGGGAGCAGGGAGCCAGAGGCTCTCTGGAGACATGCTGGGGCTTTTCCACCCAGGTCAAGCAGTGAGACCTGCCTGGGAGAGAGACACTTCAGCCAGGTTTGAGCTTCAGTCACCCTGGGAAGTGCTGCCCACTGCATGTCCTTCCAGTTTGATCCATGTTGGATCTCTGGTGCTGTTGGATTGAATTGTCTGTCCTTGTAGCCAGTTTGCTTCCACATCTTTGCAAACAGGAGCATTTTTTGCAAACATTTTCCTGACCTCAGCTGACCCTGTGCAGCCACAATGTGCCTGAGGGCCCCGTCCAGGTCGATGTTTTGTCCTTGAGGAATTCTCAGAGCTTCTGCTTTAACTGAACAAATACTGAAACACTTCAGAGCTGCTCTGAAGACAGCAGTGTGTTTGGAAGGGACCTTAGAGCTCATCCCTCCCCAGCCCTGCCATGGGCAGGGACACTTTGCACCATCCCAGGTAGCTCCAAGCCCCATCCTGCCTGGTGCTGGTGTTCCAGAGAAGTTGGTGTGTATTCTGGGCCCTTCCCAGATGGAGGAACTCTGAGCACCAGGCTGGTGGCTCAGTTTGGATCTTCCTCTCGTTCCTGGGAAGTGCTGAAACCCCCAGCACGGGAATGTTGTGTTCCTGTGCCCTGCTCTCCCACCTTGGGCCTGTTCTCCTTGTGACCTCTGGCAGATCCAGCTCTGAGCTCTCCCTCCCTGCTCTGAGAGTTCAGTCAGTCTGGAAGGTTGAGATTTCTGGGAGTTCTCAGCCTTGTGGGGGAGATTTACTTGGGAAAACTCATTTTCACACTGATCATCTTCTGCCAGAAACTCAAATGGTTTTTTGCCTTTTCTGGGTGACTGCACCATGAATCCTCTCAGAAATGTAAAAGTTAATGGTTCGGGATATGTCAGTATTTATTTTATGCTGTTGACATACTGCACTAAAACAATTTTAAGGGGAAAAAAATGGCTTGTTAAGGAGTAATAATTTATTAGGCTGTGACTTGGAGGGTTTTACAGGATTAATGTGTTGGTTTTTCAGGAACTAGTGCAGGGCCTTCAGTAGCTCCTTGCTGTTGAATTGTTTTAAGACTTTTCTTGAGGAAGTTTAAACATGACTGGAATTCAGAATTATGTCTTTGACATGATCTGCAAGTTCTTACTTTATCAGGTGCCTTATCTAGCCAGTAATGATTTGTTAGCCCTGATTTCAGCAGAAATCACACTGTGCACAGCTCCTGCAGAACTGGTCTCTCCTGGCTTCAGGGTGTGGAATAGATTTCTCTCTTTTCCCCTGGTCTATTGGTTTGATGCTTTTCCACTTCCATTGCATCTGTTGGATCTAAAGACTGGATTTCACCATCACAGCCAGTCCACATTTAGAAACAGAGAGATAGATCCTGTTCCTGTCCCAAAGAGCTTCCTGTGTCCTATGTCCTTGCCCCATGTCCCTCACTCCTCACCCCACGTCCTTGCCTCACATAAGTCACCCCTCACCCCATATCCTTGCCCCTCGTCCCTCACCCCATATCCTTGCCCCATGTCCCACGTCCCTCACCCCATGTTCTTGCCCCACGTCCCTCACCCCACGTCCTTGCTCCATGTCCCTCGCCCCCTGCATTGTCCCCTCTCGCCCCATGTCACTCGCATTGTCCCCCCTAGCCCCTGTGTTGTCCCCCATTGCCCCGTGTCCCTTGCCCCACTTCCCTTGCCCCTCACATTGTCCCCCCTAGCCCATGTGTTGTCACCCCGTGTCCCCCACCCTGTGTCTGCCTGCCCCTCCAGCCACAGGGGTGCAGAGTCCTCTGTGAGCAGTAAAACACGGGACTTGGGGGTACAGGTTATGTAGGAGAAGCTCTGCTCTCCCCAGGTTTGTGTTGTGCTCCCCTGAAATCCTGTTTGTAGCCAGGGTGCCCTGCTCAGGCACAGCTGAGGTGTCACATCCAGCTCTGGGCTCCTCAGGCCAAGGAGCTGCTGCAGAGGGTCCAGCAGGGCCCACAGAGATGTTCAGGGCTCTGGGACATCCCTGATGAGCAGGGACTGCAGGAGCTGGGCCTGCTCCCAGGGATCCCATCCATCCACACAAATCCTCAACCTGTGTGCCAGGAGAAGGGTGCCAGACTCTGCTCAGTGACAGGACAAGGAGCAGTGGCCACAAAGCAAAGCACAACAGCTCCAGCTCAGAGCAGGAGCAGCCTCTGTCCATGGAGGGGCAGAGCCTGGAACAGCTGCCAGGGGGGCTGGAGTCTCCTCTCTGGAGACATCCCAGACCCCCCTGGACACAGCCCAGGGACCCTGCCCTGCCAGGGGGGTGACACCCAGACCTCCCAACCCAGGCACTCTGTGTGAAGCTGGAGTGGCTCCAGAAGGCCCCCGAGTGCCCAGGAATGGCTGGTGTTGCCTTCTGCCCCCACTGCTCCTGGTGTGTTTGCACCTGGTGGTTGGTGTTCCTCTGAGCGCTGTCACCAGTGCAGCTCTGGGTAAATTCAGTCTGGATCTTGCCATTTTCCTGTTTTACCTGTGTGAAATGATTTGCCAGAGATCTTAGAATTCCCAGACTGGACTGAGTTGGAAGGGGCCTTAAAAGGACCTCCTGATCCACCTCCTGCAATGGGCAGACACATCTTTTACTAGAAGCTTCAAATCTTGAGTGGACATTGGATGTGTCCACTTGATAAAATAGTTCCTTTCAATTTCATCCTTGTTTTTCCACACAAAACACAATTTTGCGTAATTGAGAAGAGACTCTTCTACCACACCTGAAAGGCAGAAACAACCACCTCGTGTGAGAGGAAGGAACTCAGCCATTTGAGAATTCCCTTTGTCCCAGGGTTTACCTGCACACTAGAGAAAATGTGGTTTAATTTAAGCCCCAGACCATCTCATGCTGTGTGCCGTGTCCCACAGAGGAGTTCTCCCGGGTCAGAGAGGAGGTGCCCCTGGAGCTGGTGGAGGCCCACGTGAAGAAGGTGCAGGAAGCAGCTCGAGCCTCTGGGAAGGTGGATCCCACCTACGGCCTGGAGAGCAGCTGCATCGCAGGCACAGGCCCCGAGGAGCCCGAGAAGATGGGTGAGTGCTGCATCCCCTGCTTTCCTCTGAGTCCTGGGAACCCCCAGATTCTCCTCCTCCCCCAGGAGATGGAGGTTGTGGGTAGGGAGAAGAGGGTGGGTTGTTCTGCTCACTGCAGGATTGACTCGGACACTGAACTGAGGATTTTAGGGCTGCCTTGAGTTCTAGGAGCTTGTTCTCCTGCTCTCACTGTGTGGAAGTGCTGTTGCTTGGGGTGCACAGAGTGGACTGGCCAAAAATACCAGAGCAGGATATTCCATTGGTTGGGTGCTGGAGAATTCAAGACAAAATGATAGTCATGAAGTTTTTGCATAGAAAGTTGTTCAAGACCTTCAGTCTAAAGTGACTAAACTTAGTATTAATTCTGCTGAAGTAATGCAATTAATTTGTATTATTAATACAAATCTGTTGTCTCCTTATGATACTGTGCATTTAGCTACAGTTTTGTTTCTGCCTTTGTGGTGTTACAGCAAAATGAGGGGTTTGGAGAGTGGATTTTAGGGTGGATCTGGTACTCTGAGTGTGTTGCTCACTGTGGAGGCAGCAGCAAAGGCATTTCTGATGAAGTGCTGGACTGGCACATGATAACCCTGGCTCTGGTGGGGCTGGAATTCTGCTGGGCTTCACCTGTGCGTGTTAACAAGCTCTGGTTTAATTTCTGTGGTGTTCAGCAATTATTCTGCTGTTAAGCCTCTTCTCTGAAACCCTGCCTGGTGCAAATTGGCTGCTGATTGCTCTGGAGAGTCAAAGCAGCTCCCTGGGAAGTGAAGCCCTGTGTGCCCCTCTCCGTTGGCCCTGGTGGCTCTCCCCAGCAGGAGGAGCAGACACTGTTTACTCCATCCCCAGGGCTTTCTCAGGCTTTGCTGTCCTCATTTGGTTACACACCCACAATCTTGTCACTGCTACTTTCTCTCAGCCCCGTTGGCTCCTGCTTTGTTCAGCTTATCTCAAATGATTTCAGTGACTGGCCATGAGAAGGCACGTCTGGCTCTGGGTGAAGCTGAGCAGGATGTGATGGAGCCTGACTGGGAGGCTGGGTTTGGGATGTGCAGGGCTGCCCTGCTGTCACCCTGTCCAGGCACACGAGCAAGGTGCCACATTGTGGGCTGGCATCACCAGGGGCTGTGCTTGGTGCTCTTCACTTTCAGCTGCTACCCACAGAGGGCTGCTATTTATAGCTCTCAATGTCCATTGCAAAACTACCCAGTACATGAGATTGCAAAATGCCATTTAAATCACCAAGATAGTTTTTAATTAGCAAAGAAACAAACAAACCACTCAGCCCTTCTGTTACACGTCTCAGTTGTGCACTCAGTGGGACAGACTTGCCATGAGGCAGCTCGGTGCTTTGGGATGGTGGGCACTGTGTGCTGGAAGGGGAAGAGAAACATCTGGAGCATCTGCTGCTTCCTGTTCCTCAGAGCTGACAGCAGGCATTGAAGCTCTGCTGGAAGGACAAGCTTCGGGTTTATTTACAAGTCAGCTATAAACCAGATCTCTGTGTTACTCCATCTGGGGCTGAGTTTAATTTCATAGTTGTTTTAAAATAAGGTCAGCTTAGACTGGAAGAAAAATTTAACTTTTGTTCCCCTTTCCCATCTTCTCCCAGCACAGGTGTCTCTGTGGGTTGTTAAGAACTTCACAGGATCATTTCAGTTGGAAAAGCCCTCCAAGGTCACAGAGTCCAGGCTGTGCCTGGTCCTTGTCCCCAGCCCTGAGTGCCACCTCCAGGCCTTCCTGGGGTACCTCCAGGGATTGGGGCTCTAAACCTCCCTGGGCAGCCCCTTCCAGTATTTAACAGCCCTTTGCACAAAGGAATTCCTGCTGCTGTGCACCCTGAGCCTCCCCTGGCACATCCTGAGGCCGTTCCCTCCTGCCCTGTAACGCGTTTGCTGCTTGGACTCTTCCCTTTGCCAGGCTGCACGTTGGCCCTTTCTGACCCTTTCTCTGGGAGAATTTGGGCCCAGGCTGGCGCTGGGGATGTGAGGTGCCTGTCAGTGAGCCTGGGGGTGTCGGGGCAGCTCCCACCCCAGGCAGCTCGGGGTGAGCAGCGTGGGGAGCCCAGCCCGGCCCCAGCGGCGTTAATGCGATTTGTGCTGGGCTGTGACTAATGGAATAAATTAGGGCAGGAGCAGATGGTTCTCCCTGGGGGAGCTGCTCAGCCCGAGTGAACTGGGTCACTCAGCAATCTGTGGTGCCTCCCACCCCCCAGAGCTGGGCACAGGGACCCCCAGTGTCCGTGGCAGGGGTTGTGCCATGGCTGTGCTTGGACACCAGGGGATTGTACCCCAGAGCTGAGCAGGGATGGAAACGTCTGCTGGGGCTTCCAGATGGGAATGAAAGCCCACTGGCTGTTATATTGACATAGAGTCAAAGGATGTTGGGCTGGGAGGGACCTCAGGGATCATCCAGTGCCACCCCTGCCATGGCAGGGACACCTCCCACTGTCCCAGGTGAGCCCCATCCAGCCTGGCCTTGGGCACTGCCAGGGATAGCCACGGCTGCTCTGGGAAATCTGTTCCAGTCCCTCCCCACCCTCCCAGGGAACAATTCCTCCCAATATCCAATCTAACCCTGCCCTCTTTCTCTTCAAAGCCATTCCCTGAGTCCTGCCCCTCCATCCATTCTGTAATGGAACCACAGAATGCTGGTTTTATATTTAAATGCAACTGTGGAGAAATAAAAGTATCTGCCTACAGTTCCATACTATAATTAAAGTTCATTAGCTGTTACATTTCAAAAATAAAATTATATCAGAGCTGCATAATATTTTAAAAATATTTAATATCAGTGAATTTTAGTCAATATGGAATGTGGAAAGGGAAAATGACTGGAACAGATTGGAGGAGCTTAAGTTAATACCCAAGAATCTCCTCTCCTAAGTCTTCATTGTTAGGTTTTCTAAGAGCTGGTGATAATTCCTTTTAAGTTGATAAAGTGAGGCTTCAGTGGAGTTAGGAGGAGACTGGAGTGGTTCAGATGCTGTGGTGGGCTCTGTCTCCTGCTTTCATAGAGTCACAGAAAGGTTTGGGTTGGAAGGACCCTAAAGCTCAGCAGTGCCACCCCTGCCATGGCAGGGACACCTCCCACTGTCCCAGGTGCTCCAGGCCCTGGCCAGCCTGTCCTTGGGCACTGCCAGGGATCCAGGGGCAGCCCCAGCTGCTCTGGACAACCTGCTGTAAGGTTTTAAACAGTTCCCACAATAAATCCCAGGAGCTTTGAGTGCTGCCCCAGCTGACTGGAGCTGCTCTGCAATTGTGCCAGTGACAGTGGCCCCAGGGGAGCAAAGGAGGATCCAGCTCTTGGGGCTGGGATGCAGCTCCAGAGAAGGGCAAGATCCAGCACACCTGTGCTGTTTAATCATTTCCAGGAAGTCTTTGTTCATGTCTTTCCAAGGTGGTTAATGACACTGATTTCTCAAGGCAGCCTCTGCAGGGGCTGTGTTGGAGCTATGTGAGCATTTCAGGTCTTACTGCAGCAGATATTTCCCTGACACCCATCCTGGGGACCTCAGGCTGCAGCTGCTCTGTGCCAGGGAGTGAGGGACTGTGGTTTGATTGCCTGCATCCCATCACCAGTAAATGCTGCCAGGGGAGGGTTAAATTCACCATTTTGGGCATGGGTTTGATTCATTCCCAAACACACGCACTCTAAAACACCACACACAAGGAGGGCACATACACCCAGTTATTTTAGTCATGTTTGGCAGGGAGATTTCTCTGCTGCTCTTCAGGGTGAGAACGCTGAGGTGATGGAAGCATTCCTAAACCAGTGGATTCCAGAGTGCCTGGAATATTATAATAATATTATAATAATACAATAATAAGATGATAATATTACAATAATATTATAATAATAATATAGCTTTGGGGGTATCCCAGGGGCTGGGTCTGTACCCCCAGGGGTTGAGCCCATCATCCTCTCCTGCTGAATCTGTGGCTCACACAAACTGCTGTGGCTTTTCCAGCTCCCCAGCAGCATTCCCAGCTCCCCAGGCTTCCCTGTGGAGCCCCCCTGTTGCTGAGCCCCCAGGCTGAGTGAGGCAGGAGCAGAGGCAGCTCTGGTGGCTGTGCAGCCCTGATTTATTGTGGGAAATGTAAATGATGGTTTAGATAACAGCATCATTATCATACCCAGGGCTGGGATATTTCCACAGCTATCGTGTGTTTCCTCTCAATTAAATGTTAATGTCCCAGCCTGCCTGTGACAGGCTGTGTGTTGCCTCAGTGGGAGCAGAGGAGTCTGGGCTGTCTGGAGGGCATCTTAAACTGTTTGCTGAGCTGCAGCTCAGGCAGGTGACTCCACTGCTGTTTGCAGAGCTTTGTTTGCTCCTCTCACAACAGCAGAGGTTCCGGATCTGCTGCTCCTGCATCTCTTCGGTAACATAGGGAGTTCTTGGCAGGGAGATGTTTCACAGGTTTCCTTGTTGACCTGAAGTCCATTTGAGTTCTCTGTGAAGTCACTGGCTTGGGCAGAATTCAGCTCTGAGTCCTTCATGTGTTAGTAAAAAGGGCTCAGTGTTCTTGGAGATAATGTGCAAAACAGAACAAAATTCCATAGAAACAGAACACCTGTGGTTCAGGTGGAAAGAGGGGCTTGGAGGTGATGACTCCTCATTTCCCAGTGGGTTTTCCCTCTTGAGAGGTGTCCTGGGGTGGCTCACAACCATCTGCCTCTTCCTGAGCTAAGAATTGTCCTTTCATTCAGGGAACAGGGACAGGAGAGAGGGAGCGGCCTCAGGCTGGGCCAGGGGAGGCTCAGGGTGGACACAGCAGGAATTTCCCCATGGAAATGTTGTTAAATACTGGCAGGGGATGCCCAGGGAGGTTTGGAATGCCCATCCCTGGAGGTGTCCCAGGAAGGCCTGGGGGTGGCACTGAGTGCTCCAGGCTGGGGACAAGGTGGGCATTGGCACAGGGTGGACTCCATGGTCTCAGAGGTGTATTCCAGCTTTAGTGGTTCTGGGATTCTCTGATCCCTGGTTCCCACATCCTGCAAGGTGTCAAACCTGCTGAAGAGATTCAAGAGCATCTTTGGTGTAGGGGAAAGGGATTCCAGGAGCTCTCTCCTAATTAAAGTCGAGGCTTCCCCCTTTGTCCCAGGGACACAGATCTCCAACTGATCAATTCCTCTGGGATGGATTTTCATTAAGCTCATTAGATCACAACTGAAAATCAGTGCAGTTGTGTTTGTGTCTGTGCCAGGGGCCAGAGGCACTTCTGTCATGGCTGTGAGGAGGTCAGGCATGTTTGGGCTTTGTGTCATCCTTCCATTTTGGAATTAGGGATTAAGTTTTACCAGACGCTGCTATTTTGAGGAATTCTTCGGAAAGGGTGTTAAATGTCAGAAGGGGCTGCCCAGGGAGGTGGTGGAGTCCAGAGGTGCCCCAGGACGTGGCACTCAGTGCTCTGGGCTGGTGACAAGGTGGGGATCAGGCACAGCTTGGCCTCCGTGGTCCTGAAGGTCTTTTCCAGCCTTAATGAGTCTGGGATGCTTTGACTAACCTGTGATTTAGAGCCAAAAATAACTCCCACTCAGGCAAACTCATTTCCCCCAGACCAGCAATGGATTGTCCCTTGTCCCATGGTGTCCCACCCCGGGACCTGGTGGCCCTGGGAGCTGCAGCCACCACGCTGTCACTGCATGTCAGGGCTCTGCAGCTGATGCAGGAAAACACTTTTCAAAACCCATTGACCACGACCTGTCTGAAGCTGTCAGCCTGATTTTAACCTAGGCAGGACCAGAGGAGCGAGGTTAGATCAGGATGCTGGCAGTGATCTTGGTGTCACACGTCCCTGCCTTCCCAGGGTGTCCCTGGGCAGGAGCACTCGGGCTTGGGTGGTGTCCATCAATGTGTCCTGGCACACAGGAGGATTGAGAGCACTTGGAGATGCTCTGTGTGCTTTTCCTTGAGGAAATCCTCTCTGAAGAGTGGATGGGAGCAGTTTGTGTTTCTGTTTATTTGGAGCTCCTGCCTGCCAGGAGGGGACAGCCTGACAGGGGGGTCAGGCTCTGCTCCAGGGAACAGGGACAGGAGGAAACAGCCTCAGGCTGGGCCAGGGGAGGGACAGCAGCAGGAATTTCCCCATGGAAAGGGTGCTCAGGCCTTGGCAGGGGCTGCCCAGGGAGGTTTGGAGTGCCCCAGGAACTCCTGGATGTGGCACTCTGGGGACAAGGTGGGCATTGGCACAGGGTGGGCTCAGTGGGCTGGGAGGGCTTTTCCAGCCTCAGGGGTGCTGGGATCCTGTGAATTTCTCCACAGCAGCAGCAGCACCAGTCCCTGCCATGGTCCCTGGAGGGGTCTCCTGGCCAGAGCAGCTGTGGCTGCCCCTGGATCCTGGCAGTGCCCAAGGCCAGGCTGGACAGGGCTGGGAGCACCCCAGGACAGTGGGAGGTGTCCCTGCCATGGCAGGGGTGGCACTGGGATGATCTCAATGATCCTCCCCACCCAAGAATGTGAATTTAGGTATTTCTGTGCAGTATTTTTTTGGTTTGAGTTCCACCAGCCTGGGCACACTCGAGTGTTCTGCACTTTGTCTCCCCTTTTTTGCCTTTAAGGATTGAATCCAGCTTTCTTTGGAAACCCTTCTCTTTCCTGGGAGGAATGACACTTTCCAGCCCAGCTTGGAACTCTGCTTCTAGGCTTGAAAGAGCTGTCTGACAAAATCTAATCTAGATTTTCCCTGTGACATTATTGGGTCACTAAATCCTAACTCTGAGATAAAACCTGTGAGGGAGAACGTCCCCAGTCTCCCTAAATTGAATTATGGTGGCAGATAGTTCAGATAAGTGGGTTTATCATCTTAAAATAGGCCAAGAGGAAAACTATTACCCTTCAGTCAGACATTTTAGTTGGTTTTTGTTATATATGGAAGGGACTTGTGTAAAAATTTCTCTACAGAGCTGTTGCTGTTCAAGAAGAACACTTTGTACCTTGTTTTTCCTCAGTGTAGCACACAGGAATTAGCAGGAAAATGAGGATTACTGAAAATGAACCCCAGCACCAGCTGATGTCTTCAGAAGCTTAGAGATGGATCAGGGCTTGTCACCAGCAATTCTGCATCACCCCAGTCCAGGATCTAAATAAGCTCCTTTAATGCCTCTATATAAATTGTGACATCCTTGGCCAGGACCATGAGCTTGTGCTTCCTCTCGTCTCTCCTTGTAGAGCTGTGGATAAATTAGGATTTCTTGAACTTCTGAACAGTCCCACAAAATATCAGGGATTCTAGAACATCATCCAGGCACCTCCATGGTGTTTCCATGGCTGGTTGGCATCCCCTGATCTCCAGAACCAGCTGTCATTACAGGAACATTTTAAATCAGTGTTGTATAAAGCAATAAATGAATTATCAAATGGTGCATGGGGATGCACTTCCAGCACTCCTGCTACAAGGTTCACCTATCCAGCACCTGGAACAGAGACTTCTTAATCATCATCTTTATTATTCCTTCTTCTGTCCTCATGTTGGTCTCACTTCAGCATCAGCTGGGCTTTGTCTGGTCTGGTTAGGGCTGGGGGGTATGGAAGTGCCCCGGGGCAGGGCTGGAGCAGCCTGAGCCATCAGATCAGTGCTGGCCCTTTCCTGAAGCCACTGGTGGAGAACAGCAGCTTTCAGTGAGCCCAAACCAGAGGGTGACTGTGGGGACAATTCTGAAACCCTCCCTGTTTGTTCTCAGATGGAGCTGAGGAGGAGAAGATGGAAACGGAGGCAGAGGGGCAGCCAGCAGAGAAGGTGAGTGGGGGTCTGCTGGCACTTCAGTCCTGAATTCAGGAGTTTCTGGGTGCCTGTGACACAGGTGACAGTTTGTGCCCCCACAGGGACAGTTCCCAGCCTCCACAGAGCTCAGTGCTGGAGTGTGGAATGACAGCAGTGGGGTGTTCTGGAAGGGAGGGAATGGGGAATGCTCTGGGAACTGGGATTGGAGCTGCACCGGGGGGCACCCTGACCTGGGGGGCCCTGCTGGGGCAGGGCACTGCTGGGGCAGGGCACTGCTGGGGCAGGGCTCTGGGCACATGGCTGCCACCAGGGCTCTCAGGACACCCAGTTATTTCACAGCCATTTCTGCCTGAGGGCATTTCTGCCTCGGAGAATCCTTCCCACAGGAATTCCAGGCTGGCCCTTGGCCCCATCACATGTATTGGTGATGCTGGGGGTGACCCACCCTGCCCATAAGGTCAGCTGTTCAGGCACTAATTATCATTATCCTTCAACGTGTTGATAATGAGCACAAGAACACGTTTGTGGTCACGTTTGTGCACACGTTCTTTCATAACTTGTGTCCACAGACACGTACTCAAACTGCAGTGGGTGTTTCAGACATGGGATTAAACCAGGAATTCCAGGATGCCAGTTTAGTTACTGCTAAATTACTCTAGTATTTAAATTATTACTATTTTATTTATGTATTAGTTTAATGATGTTTAATGTGTATGTTAATAAAATCAATATTTTAATTTTATATGTAAATTTATTTTAAAATTTAAATTGCTTCTTTATTACTTAATAATTTAAAATTTAAATTGTTTATTTATTATTTAATTCCTGCTACATTCCTGATAAATAAATGGAAGTGGCTTTTTCTGCAGTCTGCAGCAACAGGAGATATTTCTTGTTGCCTCCTTCACCAGATGAGGAGTTCAGACTAACCTGGGGCTGATCAGTGCAGCTGTGGGGTTATTTCCCACTCTGTTTTCAGGTAGTTCTCCTACCTCCCTGATAATCAGAAGAGATAAGTGAGGAAGACTCACTCAGGGCTTGGAAATCTGCATATTCCCAGACATCCCATAATTCTGTGATCTTAGTTCAGGAGCTTTTGTGCCCACAGAGTAACCCAGCTGGGCCTGGATCACTGGACTTGCTCCAGTTTACATTTACTTTTATCCACATTTTGGGTTTGTTTGTCAAATTTGGCTCGAGCAGCAGCCACCCTTTAACATGTCACCTCTTCCACCGTGGTAAGGCCATGACCAAACATTATCTTGTCTCTGTGCTGCCACTGTCCCACCACCGGCACCCCCTTCAGGTGGAGAGCAAGGCCGAGAGCGAGCCTGAGGAAGGGGAGAAGGCCCCGGAGGGGGAGAGCGAGCGCAGCGCTGAGAAGGAGCCCGAGGGCGACGCGGCCGCCGAGCCCAGGACAGGTGAGGGAGCTGCCCCTGCCCTGCTGCTCCCCACGGGGCTTGGACAGGCAGGGGAGGGAGCTGCCCCTGCTCTGCTGCTCCCCACGGGGCTGGGCCAGGCAGGGGAGGGAGCTGCCCCTGCCCTGCTGCTCCCCACGGGGCTTGGGACAGGCAGGTGAGGGAGCTGCCCCTGCTCTGCTCCTCCCCACGGGGCTTGGACAGGCAGGTGAGGAGAGCTGCCCCTGCCCTGCTGCTCCCCACGGGGCTTGGACAGGCAGGTGAGGAGCTCTGCTCCTCCCCACGGGGCTTGGACAGGCAGGTGAGGAGCTCAGCTCCTCCCCAGAGGGTTGGGACAGGCCCAGCCCAGCTGGGAGCGTTCCCCTGGGCTGCTCTGAGCTCAGAGAGGCTCCAGCTGAGCCTCCCTGCAGAGCTCAGACACCAAATCCCTCCCTGTGCTTCCAGCCCTGGGCGTGGTGGAGGAGCTGCAACCCCCAAGTGCCTCTGGGTCAAGGAAATGGAGGGGTTTGCCCAAATTCCACAACATTTAGTCACTTTGGATGCAAGGAAGTGGAACAGCTGGAGCACTGCTAAAGGTTGGACAGGACTGGGAGCAGCCTGGGACAGTGGAAGGTGACCCTGCCCATGGCAGGGGTGGCACTGGATGGGCTTCAAGGCCCCTTCCAACCCAACCATTCTGTGATTCTCTGCTCACTTCTCCTATTGAAGTTAATATTTCAGCGAGGGAGCTGCCCCTGCTCTGCCCTCCCCGCGGGGCTTGGGACAGGCAGGTGAGGGAGCTGCCCCTGCCCTGCTCCTCCCCACGGGGCTTGGGACAGGCAGGTGAGGGAGCTGCCCCTGCCCTGCTCCTCCCCACGGGGCTTGGGACAGGCAGGTGAGGGAGCTGCCCCTGCTCTGCTCCTCCCCACGGGGCTTGGACAGGCAGGTGAGGAGAGCTGCCCCTGCCCTGCTGCTCCCCACGGGGCTTGGACAGGCAGGTGAGGAGCTCTGCTCCTCCCCACGGGGCTTGGACAGGCAGGTGAGGAGCTCAGCTCCTCCCCAGAGGGTTGGGACAGGCAGGTGAGGGAGCTGCCCCTGCTCTGCTCCTCCCCACAGGGCTGGGGACAGGCAGGTGAGGAGCTCAGCTCCTCCCCAGAGGGTTGGGACAGGCCCAGCCCAGCTGGGAGCGTTCCCCTGGGCTGCTCTGAGCTCAGAGAGGCTCCAGCTGAGCCTCCCTGCAGAGCTCAGACACCAAATCCCTCCCTGTGCTTCCAGCCCTGGGCGTGGTGGAGGAGCTGCAACCCCCAAGTGCCTCTGGGTCAAGGAAATGGAGGGGTTTGCCCAAATTCCACAACATTTAGTCACTTTGGATGCAAGGAAGTGGAACAGCTGGAGCACTGCTAAAGGTTGGACAGGACTGGGAGCAGCCTGGGACAGTGGAAGGTGACCCTGCCCATGGCAGGGGTGGCACTGGATGGGCTTCAAGGCCCCTTCCAACCCAACCATTCTGTGATTCTCTGCTCACTTCTCCTATTGAAGTTAATATTTCAGCTCAGTTTCCCTGGGAAGTGATGCAGAGCCTGGATTTTGACAGGCTGAGGAGTAACAACATCTATATAAAACCTTATTCTTTTTGTCATTTCCCCTGTGCCTCATAAAATCAAGGAATGGTTTGGGTTGGAAGGGACTGTAGGGATCATCCAGTGCCACCCCTGCCATGGGCAGGGACACTTTGCACCATCCCAGGCTGCTCCCAGCCCTGTCCAGCCCAGCCTTGGGCACTGCCAGGGATGAGAATGGATATATTGCTTTTTTCCTGCAACTTAGATTCAGGATTTAGCACCATGTGCAATAATTTGGATTTGATGGAATTGATTTGGAAATGATGAGGGGAAGCTGATGACAGGTGCTGAATTGAGAGGATGGGAATGAAAAGCATTTAAAGTCACCCCATTTGTTGAATCAGATCCTCTCAAACCGGGGTTCCCCTGTCAGCATTTGGATGGGGAGCAGTGCTGGAACTCAGGATGAGTTAATTAGTGCCTGACTAATTAGCGTGGTGCCCTGCCATGCCGGGAGCACGTGTAACAGCCTGGGCTGGGGTGTCTTGCAGAGGAAAAGGAGGCAGAGGAGAACAAGGAGAACGTTGATGGCAGCAAGGACAAAGAGGCCGAGGCGGGGAAGAAGAAAGTGGAGCACGAGATCTCGGAAGGAAACGTGGCCACAGCTGCAGCTGCTGCCTTGGCCTCTGCTGCCACCAAAGCCAAGGTTGGTGCTGTGCCAGCAGCCTGGGCCGGGCTGCCAGGGACAGCAGAGCTGTGCCTGGAGTGCTCCTGGCTGCAGAGCTGGGGAGCTCACCCTCTGCTCCCTGAGACAGAGCACAAGTGCTGCCTTCACTTCTGCCGGAGCCCCTGGGGGAGATAATGAACAGGTTTCATTAAGCAGCTCCTTGGGTGATTATGACCCTAAGGAATAGCCCCAAAGCGTGGGTGACTCCTTGGCAAGGCTCTTGGCTGCCGGGGGTCTGAGTGGTGCTGAGGGGCACCAAGCCTCCCATGGCCTCTCCTGCTGCCCCAGGGCTCCACACCAACCCCTGGGCTCTGCGTGGGGCAGGCTTGGGGGGTGCTCAGTCCTGGCCCTGCAGCTTTCAGACACCTTAATGATCTGTGTTCTGTTGAGAGTTCTGTTAAAAGCACGTTGGTGTGTCCCCTGAACTCCTGTTTGTGTGTGCTCTCTAATGAGCTGTGTTGAATCAGCTTTTCTTTACCCTGTAATTACTAATTACACGTTGTCTTGCCTTTCCTTTTGCAGGAACCACACTGCTTTCACTGCTTTTAGAGTATCTTTTTCAAATCTGTTTTCTCTTTACAAATTTCTCTGGATTCAAATTTTAATTTGGATTTTTAATCGCTCTTGAATTCAGTACCACATTCCACATCCACCTGCTTTATAGAAACCAAGAGCAAGGCTTGGGTGCTTATTCCTGATGAATTTCCATGGAGTGAGGTGTTGTGTGTTTTATTAACTTTTCCACTTTGATCTTTGACTCTTTAACTTCAGACTTTTTCCCCAGCTGCATCCCCAGAGTGAGGATGGTGGGTCCTGTGCAGTCCCTCCTTTTGAACCCAGGGCATGGAGGATGTTTCAGATCTTACCTTTCAAACCAGGCTGTAAAATCCCACAAATTGCAGCAAAGCTGAGGTTCAGTATTTTGGGCAATGCAGGGTCCAGAGTGGCTCTCAGTCCATCAGACTCACAGATATCCTCAGCCAAGCTGGGAAGAGCTGGATCTGTGTGAGGAGACCTGAGATTTCATCTGTGTTTTATGGAGGGCCACTTGCTCCAAGTGGAGATGAGCTGCTGCTCCTTCCTCTGGAGATGAGGAGCTGGAGGGAGCAGGGGCCTGGCTGATGGCACTTTTCATTATGGCAATAATAATTGTCTGGAAGAGCTTCAGCTTTCCATTACAGGGAATAATGTATTGTAATTAGGAGGTTGACACTTCAGAGTAGAATTCAGGTTCAGCAGGGATTTCTCTTCCCACTCCCTTGAAAAGCCAGACAATATTAGAGCTTTGGGTGGTCTGTGTCTTATCTGAGGAATAATTAAACTCTTCATCATAAACTAGGCCTGGTCATATGAAAAGCTGCTTTCCTTAGGATTTTGTATCAGAGCAATATTGCAGTTGGATTCTGAGTGAAGATGGGGGTTAAAGACAAGGGATTGAAGTGGGGGTTTTGTTTATTTGGGGGTTTTTTCTTTTTTTTTTTTTTTTTCTTTTGGGATCAGTGGCTTCCAGGAGTTGAGTTGTGCTGTTTGAGAAATGGTGAACATGAATGTTCAGGGTGAGACTCTGTATTTCACACAGACCAGCAACTGAAATGTGTTTTCACAGGTTCTGGTTTCTGAACAAACAGCATTAGAATTGAAGTACCTTCTGCTCATTTTCCTCTCAATAGACACCCAATGTGAGCTGGTTTTTCCTTTCTGTGCAGAAGTGTCCCTGATGGCTCCTGGCCTGTGCTGCTCCTGCTCTGCTCCAGCTGGGACTGAGCTGCTGCTCTTGATGCATCTCTTTTCCTTCCCAGAGCTGTCCTGGTGCCAGTTTCACCTCCTGCCAAACACTGATCTCATGGCCTCCCCAAGTTCCTCTTGGAGGTGCCTGGGGCTGAAGAGATCATTGCTGGAGGCTCCTGATCCCAGTGGGGCTCCAGTAGGGCTGCAGAGGGACTTTGGACAGGACACAGGGAATTTCTCCCACTGCCACAGGGCAGGGATGGATGGGAGATTGGGAATTGGGAATTCCTGGCTGGGATGGAATTCCCAGAGCAGCTGTGGCTGCCCCTGGATCCCTGGCAGTGTCCCAGGCCAGGCTGGACAGGGCTTGGAGCACCTGGGACAGTGGAGGGTGTCCCTGCCATGGCAGGGGTGGCACTGAATGGGTCTGAGGTCCCTTCTAACCCAAACCATTTATGCATTCAATGGTTCTTTTTTATAGAATCATTTAGATTAGAAAAGCTCCTTAGGATCACTTGCTCATTTATGACTCCAGGCTGGTGCAGTGATAGGTTTATCAGGCACTACAAATTACCACTGAATTTGTGTTCCTGATTTTCCTTAGCTGCAGCTGTAGGGATTTGTCCTTTGCCCATGGAAAGCCCTGGGTAGTGCCAGGCTGAGCCTCTTTGAGTCTGTCTAGGAAAACCTCAGGGATAATTTCCTTTCCAAGGTGTATTTTGAGACTGGCCTTTACCTAATCATGTGCTCTGATCAGATGTTCATCCCATTTCATTATTAAAATTGCACATGTGAAACAGAGTGAAATGTTTGCTGGAAGACTCTGTATCCCCAGGTGATTCCCTCACTCTGAATTTTCATACAAACGAGATTATTTTACTGAACAGTGTTATTTAATGTGAAATTTCCTGTTCTGTCAGCTTTGTTTCATTATTTTGTGTGCAGCACTTTGGTCAGTTTTGGAACAGCTGCTGGAATTTCTCAGGGATGTGCTGTTGGATGAGCTTGGGGTCACTCTGGTTCTCTCAGACCTGATTTGAAATTCACTTTAGAGAGTCAGGAGTGCATTTGCCCACATTTACTGAGCCCTCCCTCCCTGCTGCTGGGTCAGGGAGGTGAACATTGTCAATGGCACGGTGTCACATGGCTTTGAGAAATTCAGATTCTGCTCAGGGTTCCAGGGAGGTTTTCAATGCTGCTTTCCTCCAGCTCGGTGTTTGTCCCAGTTCTGGGCCAGTTTGGGGCCCAGCTCCCTCAGAAGGGGTCTGTTTGCAGCTGGAGCTGGATGAGCTGCAGCTTTCCCTTGTTTCCCTCAGCCCTCACCTTTCCCTTGTGGCAGGCAGCCCTTGGATGTGTCCTTGGGCTGCTCTGTGAGCACAGAGCCCCCAGGCAGGCTGCACTCGCAGGGGTTCTGCTGAGCAGCAGGTTTTGAACAAGCAGGGAGAGGCAGCATGACCACACTTGTCACACTCTGAGGGTGTGAAACACTTCCATGGCTGCCTCGTGTATCAGATATATATACACAGATCTCTGGTGGTATTTATGTGTGGATATAAATGGCATGGAGTTAATCCTTGTAAAAATCAATTTGCTTTCTGCTTGAGAAAAATCTATTTTAATGCCAAAGACATGGCAGTGCCATCTCCCTGGTTTGGGGTCAGTCTGGGTCACAGCTTCCTGTGGGTGTCCTGCTGGGAGCTTTTTGGGTGACCCTCAGCTGACTGCACTGAACAGACCCTTCCTTCTCCCTCATTTGCATTCCCACTGGAAGGGCTCCCTGTGCCCAGTGCTGGCAAGGCTCTGGGCATCCTCCACACCTCTTGCATGAAACCTTCACACCTATTTATTTGATTAAACCTTAATAATCTTCCAAGGGCTCTGGTTCCCAGCATAATATTTATTATCTAATTCCCAGTTTCCTGTCCAGAAGTGGAAAGCTGGGTGATTCCCTCCCCCAGCCCCTTCCTGTGCCCAGTGTCACAGAACAACCCCTGTGTTTCCTCCCCAGCACCTGGCAGCTGTGGAGGAGAGGAAGATCAAGTCCCTGGTGGCCCTTCTGGTGGAGACTCAGATGAAGAAGCTGGAGATAAAGCTTCGCCACTTTGAGGAGCTGGAAACCATCATGGACCGGGAGAAAGAGGCAGTAAGTGGATTTGGGATTAAAGCTCTCACTGCAGAGGTCTGTGGGCCAGCATCTGGAAAACCAGCAGCTCCTCTCCTCTCCTTTGTGTCTTCCTTCAGCTGGAAGCCATAATTCCCTCACAGAGTGGCATTTGAGCCCTGTCCTCCATCCAGTGTTTGTTCCATAAGCAGCACACTGGGGTATCCTGGATTTCCTTCCTCTGAGCAGGAACATGGAATTGAGCTTTATGTGGCCTTGTCACATGGATTGTGTCTGCCTCAGAGCAGCTTTTCCCTGGCAAGAGGGAAAGGGGTGACCCCCACCCCTCCCTAGGGGAGGGAGCCAGCCCTGTGTGCCTTTCCCCCTGACCCAAGGGGTTCCAAGGAGACAGTTCAGGTTTTTGGGGGCACTCAGAGCAGCTCCTGGGAAAGCCCTGGAGTGGGATGTGGAGGTGGAAGGGGAATGCTCAGGAGTGCCAGCCTCACCTTGTGCTGCTGCTGCTGGGTTTGCCTGAGCTGGCAAGGCAGCAGCAGCTTCAGCAGAGGGGAAGGAGCAGTGAGGTCAGGACATGGAGAGGAGCTGTCTGGCCTGGATTACTCAGGAATTACCAGCAGTTGTGTCACGTGCAGTGCCAGAGGCTTTGGAGAAGTGTTTCCTCTCTGGCTGCTTGAAAGATGACTCAAAATCTCATTTCTATCAGAAGGGCCAGTTTTTAATTTCTTTTTTTCTGTGTGTAGCTGCCTCATTGTTGTAAGAAGACAGTTACTATGGGTGGGTTGAAGATTCAAACTGGGTTATGTTGATTCATAATTCCAGGGATTGCTGCATTTACCCTTCTGTGTGAATTTAATGGAGTTACACCTACATTTCCATTCATGGAAAGGGCACCAGGTCCAACTCCTGCTCCTCACAGCACCCCAAACTGAGCCATGTGACCAAGAGCATCCTGCAGGCATTCCCTGAGCCCTGCCAGGCCTGATGCCATGGCCACATCCCTGGGGAGCCTGCCCACCCTCTCCATGGAGAGCCTTTTCCCATCCAGAGTTCCCCTAATCACACTGATGGAGTCTGACAAGATGTGGACTTCTCTTGGAGCAGGATGTCAGCAGGAATTTCTGGATTGCTCCACATCCTCCAGTGTTTCAGTCTGTGCTTGAGTGACAGCTCAGGAAATGGACCCAACTCTTTTGGAAAGGTTCCCTGCAGACTCTTTCTTTGGGGGATATATTCCATTAGTGACAGGGAGGGTTTTTTCCTCCCTTTTGAGGCATATGACATTTCCCTTTTTAAAAATGTGCATACAGATTTTCCCCTTGGCTTCCTGGTGGTTAAATTCGCTCTTTTCACCTGTCATTGTGGATATTTAGTGGAATAATTAAAGCAGCAGAACCTCCTGGCTGCCACTGCACGCTGTGCCTGTCGTTCCTGCAGCCCTGGCTTTTCCTTGCAGGGAGGAGCAGGGGCTGGGAGTGCTGACAGGAGTCAGTGCTGCAGGCTGCAGGGTGGTACAGCTCAGGCAAAACATGGATTTGTGCTGCAGCTGAGCACTGCCAGCAGTGAGTGTGGGAACCCAGGGGCTCTTGGTGGAGCTTGGCCCACCCAGAGCTCCTGATGGCACCTGAAGCTTGCTGGTTCTGTTCAGGGAGGAATCCCTGAGGTTGGAAAAGCCCTCCCAGCCCATGGAATCCCAGCTGTGCCCATGCCCATCTTGTCCCCAGCCCAGAGCACTCGGGGACACCTGCAGGGATGGGCACTGCAGACCTCCCTGGGCAGCCCCTGCCAAGGCTGGCCACCCTTCCATGGAGAAGTTCCCCCTGAAAGGAAGTCCTGTGCTGGAGATGAGGCTGTGGCACACTGATTTATTCTATAATTGAACCTTAAGTGTTTGTAGTTGCCCCTCCTGGTGCACCACTTCCACAGCAGCACAGAAAGGGGTTTGGATACTGGGGGATTGTCAGCTGTGACACCCAGAGCCACCTCCCTGAATTCCAGCTGGTTTCCTGAGTGGCTTTTGGGGGCAGAATCTGCAGGAGAGGGTCCAGCAGGGCCCACAGAGATGTTCAGGGCTCTGGGGCATCCCTGATGAGCAGGGACTGCAGGAGCTGGCCTGCTCCCAGGGATCCCATCCATCCACACAAATCCTCAACCTGTGTGCCAGGAGAAGGGAGCCAGACTCTGCTCAGTGACAGGACAAGGAGCAGTGGCCACAAAGCAAACCACAACAGCTCCAGCTCAGAGCAGGAGCAGCCTCTGTCCATGGAGGGGCAGAGCCTGGAACAGCTCCCAGGGGGGCTGGAGTCTCCTCTCTGGAGACATCCCAGACCCCCCTGGACACAGCCCAGGGACCCTGCCCTGCCAGGGGGGTGGCCTGGGGACACCCAGACCCTCCCAAGCAGGCACTCTGGGGTTTGTGGCAGGGCTGACCTTGCTGAAGGTTCTCAGCCTTGCTCCTGCCTCGTTCCAGCTGCAGGAATGAGGGAGATGGGGAGCAGCTGAGGTCACTGATGGAGCTCCCACTGGAAATGTGGTGCTGGAGAGGTTCAGTGTGGGGAGAGCTGGGGGCTGTGTCTGAGGTGGGACAGAGCCTGCAGCAGAACCAGGGCTTTGGGTCTGCACTGGAGCCTAAGCTTAAGCTAGGCTCAGCTTTAGCACCAGCTCACATTACAACCTGTCTTTCTGTGCCTTTTTTGGCTCTGTCCAGCTGTCTTTCCTCATCCCAAGCATAGAGATTGTGTAGAAGGGAAGTTTTCCTCCTCCAATGTGAATTTTCAGGCGCTGGCTGCTGTTTGGGCATCCTTGTAAAGACTCTTTTAAACTGTAACGGGATGGGGTGCCTCGAAGAGAGCAAAGCAGGGCCACAAAAGGATCTCAAAGGAACAAAAAAGTGTTGCCTGAGCCTTTGTTTGGGGTCGTTTGCAGGAATTCCTCTCCCAGCTGTCTGCCACCTCGGGAATGTTTCCCCACACACCCCATTGCCCCGGTGGGGTGGATTTATCGGTGCTTCCCTCAGCACAGGAGAGCTGAAAAGAGCCAGGGCAGCGTGAATGATGCCATTGTGGCCGGGAGCAGGCTCCCCGGCCGGCCTCATGTTTCATTCATGAGCTCGGCCCATCTGGGGCTGCTCAATGCCCTCTCTGTGGAGCTGCCTTCCCTCCCCGTGCCTGCCTCGTCAGCAGCCAGCCTGCCAGCCCCGACTACTGAGGGAGCTTTGGGATTTTTGGAGAACTCGTGCTAGGTGAGAGTCTCCTTGGCAACCTGCTTTTCAGCCGAGTTGTGGAGTGTACCTTAAAACAGTGCTTCAGGATTTGTACACGAGTCACGCAGCCCCGGCTCTGCTCATAACGTGGGAACGTGTCAATATTCCTGAAATAAGTCAGATACCACTTCCTTCACTAGGACTGACCCATCATACAGATGCCCCGTGGTAGGAAATGCTTTTTTTCTTTCCATGGAATCTCAGGCTGGTTTTTGGGCAGGAAGGATCTTCTGGATCATCCAGTTCCACCCAGGGCAGGGGCACCTTCCCTGGGCCAGGTTGCTCACTGTCTATATGACTTCTTAATTAATCAAAGTAGCCTATTTGATGGTAATTGGCCTAAATGACATGAGGTTTTTTACATAAAGCTCTTAATAGTGCAAATCTGTGTCTGGCTGCTGTGACATCCAGTTCCTGCACTCAGAGGATGGAGAAGGATCCTGCCTGTGATCCCTGAGCTCCTGCAGCTGCACACACGTTCTGCTCCAGGCTTACCCAGAAAATCCCCTGAAATTCCTGTTCTCCCTCATTCCAACATGCAGAAGATGGAGAGAAAAAGCCCCAATTTCTTCCAGAGCTGTGCTAGGGCTGAGCTCTCAGTGCAGAGCTCTGTGAGTAAGGAGCTGTGCTGCTGAGAGGTTTTAGGACAGAACGAGGTGAATTCATGTGTTCCAGCTACAAAAAGCTCCAGAGCCTTTCCCAGAACCTGCTGCACACATCCACAGGACAGCAGTTCCTTTTGGTTTGGTGGGGTTGGCATGAGAGGCTTCTTCCACCCCAACCCCCTGATGGGCAGGAGCACCTTTGAAATGCATCATTCCTCACTCACCTCTGCCCTGTCCTGGCACAGCTGGAGCAGCAGAGGCAGGGGCATGTTTGAAATGCATCATTCCTCACTCACCTCTGCCCTTTGCCCTTTGTCCTGGCACAACTGGAGCAGCAGAGGCAGGGGGATGTTTGAAATGCATCATTCCTCACTCACCTCTGCCCTTTGCCCTTTGTCCTGGCACAACTGGAGCAGCAGAGGCAGGGGGATGTTTGAAATGCATCATTCCTCCCTCACCTCTGCCCTTTGTCCTGTCCTGGCACAGCTGGGGCAGCAGAGGCAGCAGCACCTTTGAAATGCATCATTCCTCACTCACCTCTGCCCTTTGTCCTGTCCTGGCACAGCTGGAGCAGCAGCACCTTTGAAATGCATCATTCCTCACTCACCTCTGCCCTTTGCCCTTTGTCCTGGCACAGCTGGAGCAGCAGAGGCAGCAGCTGCTGACAGAGAGGCAGAACTTCCACATGGAGCAGCTCAAGTACGCCGAGCTAAGGGCTCGCCAGCAAATGGAGCAGCAGCACAGCCAGAACCCCCAGCAGCCCCACCAGCACCCCACCGGGCCTGGCATCAACCCCCTGGGGGCACCAGCACACCCAGGGCTGCTGCCCCACCAGCAGCCCCCACCCTACCCCATGATGCACCACCAGATGCCACCTCCTCACCCACCTCAGCCAGGTAAGAGCTGGGAGCAGGGAATTCCTGCCCTGGCCCCTGGGGAGTGGGCCCAGGGGGAGAGGGGCTGCCAGGGGAGGGCCTGGGTGGTCTGGGCTACTGGTTTATAATGGTGCCACTGGCAGACACAGTTTGCTGCAAAGATGAGCTTTGCACCTTCTGCAGGTTCATTGTGGAGCTCCTAATCCCATTCCAGATGTGGGGAGGGGGGGAATCCCAGAAGTCAGGAGTGGGGGAGTGCCAGGGTGGGAGGCACTGGGCACCAGCAGGAGAAATTCCTTCCTTTTTTTCCTTGGGGGGCTCATCAGCCCCAGAGCAGATTGTCCAGCAGGGCTGGGAGTCCCCTGCCTGGGACTGTCAAGCTCTGCAGTAAAGTGAAATCTGAAGCTGCCCCAAGCACTTCCAGATGTCTTTAGGTTATTTGTGTTTCCTTAGAGTTGCTTTCTGCTGGGTGATCTGAGCAGATGCTCCTTCAGAAACAATCACTCCTCCAGTTCTCCAGCTCATGGCACACCAAATGTACAGAAATTAAGGGGAAGGACTGGGAGGAGCAGCAGGGGCAGGAAGCTCCTTCAGGACCTTCTTTGGCAGGAGAGCTGGCTGTGAGAGGTTCCTGTGTCCTGCCTGGGTTGTTTGCTGCCAGGGGAGGGTCACAGGGGTCACCTGGCAGCTCCAGTGCAGCCTCTCCTGCTGCCAGGGCACTTGTCCTGCTGAGGGCTGGCTGTCTCCAAGGGTGGGTGCTCCTGATTTCAGAGGGTGGAGTGATCAGGTGAGGATGTGAATTGGCAGCTTTTATTTGCTAAAAGTTGTTGAAATGCTAATATAAAATCAAATAACAGTGCCTAGCATGTGGGAACCTGGCTGTGGGACTGGATACAGCCGAGGAGGAGCTTGACCAAAACCTGCTCCAGGAGAAAACCTGATCAGTTATTAGCCAAAAATATTTGGCAAGATTTTTTTGGCTTCTTCAGCAAGCTGCTGAAGAAGCTGGAAAGTTTGAGTGTCATAATCCACATAGAACATGGCAACAAGAAGCTGCAGGAACTTGAGTTTTCCTCTTGAGACAAAAAGTGTTTGGTTTGGGAAGGAGCAGAAGGGCCCAGGAAAACAGCAGGACTTGCAGGTGAGCAGGAAAATGGGAAGTATCTAATCCAAGTGGGTGTGCAGAGCAATCCAGGTGGGTTCCCTCAGCAGGTGCAGAGCTCTGCTGGCTGGGCAGGAGGGAGGAGGTGTCTGGTGAGGCTCAGGCTCACTCTGCTTTGAAGGCTCAGGGAGTTCCTGGGTTTGCTATGGACAAAAGTCCCTGGGGCTGTTTGGGAGCTGATGTGGTTTTTGCTGGAATTGGATTGGGAGTGTGATAAAACAGGGTGTAGTTTTAGACTCAGATTTAACATCCTGGGTCTGTTGTGGGGTGTGGACAGCTCAGGGATGCTCTCATGAAGGAATAACCTGGGAAGGGACAACTGCAAATGAAACCAGAGGGAATTCTGGCACATCCATCCACAGCTGTCCCTCCCACACTGCTGGGGAGACTGGGAGTGGGACAAGGTTAAAGCATGGCTGGATTTGTGCCCTGGGGCTGCTGACTCCCCTGGCTCACAGAGCCCTGTGTTGCTGCAGCCCCCCACAGCCTCCCAGGCTCTGCATTCCCAGAGCAGGGACAGGGAGTGGGCTCTGCTCATTAGCCACATCTCTGCCAGGTTTGATTAAAGCTGCTCAATAGATTGACTCTCCCAGTGCACCTCCCCTGGCTGAGGCAGCAAAGCCCTGCTGAGGCTCAGCTCTCCTGGCTCCCAGCAGCATCCAGAGCTGTCTCATTCCTGGCCCCCAGCTCCTCCCCATTCTGCCCTCAGCTCCTCTGACAGTTCTCTGCGTTGATGCTTTTGTAAAGAGGAGAATCTGAGGCCCACTCTAGGTTAGGAGCAAACCCTGTGTGTCCCCAGCCAGAGCCCAGCTGATCTTGCCTAGGAGGCAGAGGGGGCTCATGCCTTGGGTTCTCCAGAGGAGGTTTGTTAGGAGTGCCTGGCAGGCCCAGGGCTGCCAGAGCCCTTTGGGGTTGGGTTCTCCAGAGGAGGTTTGTTAGGAGCCCTTTGGCTGCACAGTTGAGTTATTCTGGCTTGAGAGCATGGAGAGGAAATGGCAAACCCCTGAACTTCAGCTTGTTCACCCCACACCTGTGAGTTCCCTCAGGGGATCTGCCCCCCAGTCTCCTGCAGCCTTTGTGGAGATCCCAAAATTTGGTGAGTGTGAGGAGATTATGGAATCTTGGAATGGTTTGGGTTGGACCTTGAAAATCTCCCAGTGCCACCCCCTGCCCTGGGCAGGGACACCTTCACTGTCCCAGTCTGCTCCAGCCCCAGTGTCCATCCTGGCCTGGGGCACTGCCAGGGATGGGGAGGAGAGACCCCCAAACCCCTGAGGGTGATCTGGGAGCACCACGGAGCAGCTGGGCTGGGAATTGCTGCCCAGCTCGTGCTGTGCTGGCCAGGCTTCACTGCTGACCTCACTGTGGTGGCTCCGGGCAGGTTCTGGCCTCAGCTGTAGCTGAAGGGATGGTGGGAAGCAAAGGATCTGAGAGGGCATTGGAGAGGGAAGAGAGGAGGATAAATCCCTGCTCAGGGGCAGAAGCACTAAAGTCAAGCTCTTACCTAAAAGTTAAACGTGAGGCTTTTCCCAGAAGTATGGTTTTTAGTTCAGGTGCCAGTCTGGACTTGGTGGTGGAGAACATCTCCAGTGCTGGACCCATCTGGAGAACATCTCCAGCCAAGGGCTGCCCACTTCTCCTTGGCATGGCCCATCTGGCTCTGCTGGACCATGGAATTCATTTTCCCTGAGCTTATTTTGTTCTCCCCTTTGCTCTGGAATGAAAACTTTTAGAATAAGAAAATAAAGTTGGATTCCAGTTTCACTGAGAAGAGCTGCACCTTGTCACTGTAATAGGAAATCAAATTCCCAGTTTCTCCTCGTGCTACCTCTTTGGGCACTGCATTGATTTCTCTTCAAGCTCTGGGCTGGTGATCAGTGGGATGAGAACTCCTGGTTCTGGTGATACCCATGGTGTGGAATAGGAGAAACTTCTGGAAATCCTTGGAGGAAGAGAGAGAGCTGGGAATTAGTAGCTGTCTTTGTTAACTCTTCCTTCAGGTGGGATTTTCAGCTGGTGAAGAATTTCTGACCTAAGGCAGAAATGGAATGAGGAGGGCAGGATCCCACCACAGCTGGATGAGCAATTTTAATAACCTTTTCCCTGATAGATTTTACCTCCTTTTCTGTCAGTGGTTGAAATACTCAAAAAAAAGGACTTTGTCAGGAATTTTGGGCTTGGGGTTTTCAGCTGCTGAGCTTTTCATTATTTCTGGGTTTAATTTGAGTTACTGAATGCTATTTGCTTCCTTTTTGGACTGTTGATGATTCCAGGGGGCTTTTTGGGTACAGAAAAGGATTTTGAGTTCACTTCCTTTAGGTAAAAATTCCCCAACAGCTGTCAGTGCTTCCTAGTTCTCCATCAGATGTGCAGAGCTTGCTGGGAGGTGCAGGGAGCAGTGGGATGAGAGGAGATCCAAGTCAGGGGCTGTGAAAGGGGCTGGAGCTGATCCCTGGCCTTGGAAGCAGGGTGTGATTTGGGATTGGAGCTGTGAGGGTGGTCGGTGGCACAGGGACAGTGACACCACGCTGGGCTCCCTGTGCTGCAGCTGGGCTGTGTGGGGCTGCAGCAGTGAATATCTGATCCACTGCAGAATTCCTGGGCTCAGGCAGCAAACCAGAGACCCCAGGAGAGTGGCTCCACTGTGCTGCCCTCCCCTCCCCTCTGGGGGCTGAGCTCCCCCTGGGGTGTTTGTGGGGGATCCTTTCCTCAGGAGGGTGACAGCAGCAGCTCCCCAGAGATGCTCCAGTGACTCCTATGTGCCTGTGGGAGCCTGGGAATGGTGCCCCAGGAATGGTGCCCTGGGGCAGGGCTGGCTCTGAGAATGGTGCCCTGGGAATGGTGCCCCGGAGCAGGGCTGGCTCTGGGAATGGTGCCCTGGAGCAGGGCTGGCTCTGGGAATGGTGCCCCTGGGAATGGTGCCCTGGGGCAGGGCTGGCTCTGGGAATGGTGCCCCAGGAATGGTGCCCCAGAGCAGGGCTGCCTCTGGGAATGGTGCCCCGGGGCAGGGCTGGCTCTGGGGATGGTGCCCCAGGAATGGTGCCCCAGAGCAGGGCTGGCTCTGGGAATGGTGCCTTGGGAATGGTGCCCCAGGAATGGTGCCCCAGAGCAGGGCTGGCTCTGGCTCTGGCCCCGGAGGGGTCTGCAGGGAGGGGCAGGAACAGAAATCTGGGTGCCAGTGAAGTGGAAACTCTGCCTCTCCTTCCCCAGACACGAGGCTCAGTGAGTTGTGTTAATT